TGAACCTTGTGTAAGTCCTTGTACCTTATTTGTTCAATTTATGTGTAGTTGGTGTGCGGAAAGCAAGAAGTGTTGCCGGTTCTCATAATTTACCTCTTGTTGGTGTCCATCACATGGAAGCTCACACTCTGGTTGCCAGGTAGCAATATGGAGTAAAGGTTAAGTTATTCATGCTAGTAGCAAACAGTAGATTAAGATCAGTGCATACAGCTAAAAATTTGTTGGGAATTTGTCCAATTCCGTGGTTAGTTAAACTGTGAATTTCCCAGCTTTCAATTACTTTGTCCGGAATACTGCAAATTACAATAAAATAAAGAAAAAACTTCGGCTGAAATAATCTTGTAAGATGAATTATCTCCTCTGCGGTAACACTTTTATGTTTTACTTATTCTTGATTGTTTTGCTATTAATTTGGTTGCCAAATTTTGTCAGGGAATCATATGAATAAGCAGATAATTTTTTTTCTCATCTTCTTTGTTCTATTTCTAGGGGCACCATTAGTTTTTGTGAGATGATAACCTATGGTCTGCTTTGTAACTATAGAGGTCCTGTCACCTTAAATATATCATGGGATATCTTGTTTTATCAATCACAAATATTGGCTGCATGGTATGAGGTGGTAATCAAGATTTTTGTCTGTATTCTACTTCACTTTTCCCCTTTCTTTCTTCTACTGGACCCCTTTTAAGTAGTAATTACAGATGATTTCATTGACCTTGGAGTCTCAGATATGAATAAGCTGAGAGGAGAAAATGTAGTCGCCCATGGAGTGCTCCTCAACTCCACCATTGTTTTTTACATTAGCTTACAGAAAGTTGCCAAAGTGTCTAAAATGCCCGCCTATCTTATGCTTACAGATAAGTCGAAGTTTCTATGAAGATTGTATGCTTCAAGATATTTGTAAACTCAGTGTACTGTGCCGCCTGGAACTAATGTTTTCTCTTTTCAGGCTAGTAGACAGAGAGCTGCAGTTTCCTTTTATGGCCCTACTTGTCTCAGGTTAGATAACCTTCTACAATTTTATAGGTCTGTTTTATTTACTCTTACTGAAAATATATTGGGTCATCTTTTCCTGTGTTTTAGATATATATGGCCAAGCTATATAGTATTGTGCTAATTCTTATTGGGCCTTCTTATTGCACAGCCATCTTATGGTGCTATCTATATCAGTTCACCTTGGAACATCACTTGAATATAAAAGATCTAGGATTTGTTACTGAACGTCCCACTACCCAGAGAGTTTTGACATCTTTTGGCAGTTTAATTTGTGTCTAAAGGTCTTTCATATGCTTGTTCGGATGCTCATGATATTCATTGTTATGCTTATGAGTCCTTCGATTGTATCCTGCAAGATGAAAATCTCTCATATATACAATCAAACATCTTGTGGTTGATTCAATTCAAGTATATTATTTGTGATCTTTGTGTGTGTTTTTTCTTTTAGTTTCTTTTCCCAAGGGACCTGACTTCTCTAAAAAGTTACGAAAATTGAATTGTTTAACCTTTAAGCCAATGTATGCTAAATATTGGATATGTTTCTCAATTCAACAACATAAAATACAGTTTTCATAATGAAAAACAATTTGACCAGTTGTATTTTCCTGTGAATTAGATATCAATAACATACTGGATTTTCTTTCATTCATATGCTCTTTAGGAGGCCATAATCTTTTAATCCTTGCACGTGATCTTGGCGATTACATACAGCTTGGGACAACAATTGATGATGCAATTGGCGAGGCATATGACAAAACAGCAAAATGGCTTGGTCTTGATCTGAGGAAGAGTGGGGGCCCTGCTGTAGAGGAGCTAGCGCAAGAAGGAGATGCCAAGTCTGTCAAATTTAAAGTAAGTTACTTTAGAGACATTTGCACTTATATGCAATACGTCTCCGGGTTTTCTCTATTAAGGAATTTTAGAAGTGATATTGTTTGCCCAATTGACTAGAAGTTTGAATGAATTTTAGGTCCCTATGAAACAACACAAGGATTGCAACTTCTCATATGCTGGTCTGAAGACGCAAGTGAGGTTGGCAATTGAAGCAAAAAGAATGTATGTGATTCATTAGGGAATAAAAGTTATTGATCAGTTCTGCAAAGTGTTTTTCATTTTCATTTCATTTTAAACTTTACCACCAATATCGTTGCGTTGTTTTTTGTTCTTTTCGAATTATAGAAATTGATTTTCCATTCCCAATGAGGTAAAGAGTGGATTATCCAATATATGGAAACAACCTGTCTGGGTCAAAGCTTTTGTTTTTTCCTCTTTCTACAATGTTACCTTAGGATAGTGTTCTGTAAACCATGGTCCAGAAAGTACAGTAGCTTTTAGCTTTGTCTTATGATCGTAAGGTTTTATGAATCACTAGGACAACAATGTACATCAGTTGGTTGTCATTGTCCTCGTCCTCCTAGCTACTCACATTTTGTAGGTTGTATGCAGCAATGCTGAAATCTCTCTTGCTGAAGCTTCTGACGAAGAAAGACAGGCTCGGGCAGATATTGCTGCCTCCTTCCAGGTATATAGATTTTATAGAAGATTGATCTTCTTGTAATTTGTTTATAATTAAGAAGTAGTGGTTAACAAATCAATGGATCTGTTTCCTATACCTTTTCCATATTCTTAAATCTCATTTACATTGTAATGAACGCTTCACGCAGCGAGTTGCGGTATTACATTTGGAGGAAAAGTGTGAACGGGCAATCGAGTGGGGTTTGAACATAGAGCCTTCCATAAATCATTTGGTCAGTGTTTTCTGTTTACTGCAGTTTTATATGACTAATATCTTCCTCCTTGGCTTTACTCTAATAGTCTAATGTATTAGTTTCACATGATCCTGTAAGCTTAATGTCAATTATGCTAATTGTCCAATTTACCTTTCACAGGTAGTGTCTGGAGGTGTTGCATCTAACAAGTATGTCAGAGCTCGGCTTGATGAGGTTGTGAAAAGGAAAGGGCTGAAACTTGTATGCCCCCCTCCAAGCCTTTGTACTGACAATGGTTAGACAATTCTCCTTCTTACGTTGCCTCAGTTTCATACAGGAACTTTAGATTCTTAATTTTTAAGTTTCCAAGGCTTCAGAGGAAAGGTCATGTCTCTTACTGAGTCAAGTAAATTGGCATGCACTGCCTCTAGGTTGATTGTCTCGTGGATAATTTTTTAGCTCAAAAGTGCAAATGGCTTGACATTGCACTCTAATACGTTGACCTGTTCTAATAGGTGTAATGGTTGCGTGGACTGGCCTTGAGCATTTCCGTCTGGGCAGATTTGATCCTCCACCTCCCGCAAATGAACCAGAAAATGCCGTGGTTAGTCTTTTTCTTCCCTTAACTCAAAACTGGCCATAATGTCCTATAGTTACGTTGATTGAGTATGACAACCCATAGATTTGTGCCTTGAAAGTTAAGTTTGCCAAAAGTCTTGCGATTATTCAATCAAAATAAACGCCTACATGTTAAACTGATCTGCTTTATTGAATTTCTGTAGTTCTACTTCCTGTTCCCTGAAGCCCCCTTCCCACACCCTTCTCCTTACCATGTTTAATTATGATCCATTGCTCCCTTGATCAGCTTGATTTGCGCCCAAGGTGGCCTCTCGGTGAGGAATATGCTGAAGGAAAAAGTGAAGCTCGCTCAATGAGAACAGCACGGATGCATCCATCACTTACCTCTCTCATTAAGGCATCTATCAAGCAAGAGTCACAGTCTGCAATTTAAACAACTCAAAGACTTTTCTACAACGCACATCCACAAACATGTAGATATTTATATAAAGTGGTTTGCCTAGAATCATGATTCATATTCGAAAATTGGTGAGCTGAAAGCTTGAAAGAACCATAATTCAAGAGCAATGTGCCTGTGGGGGAAAACTGTGTATTTTGATGTTGTATCATATTTTAGTGCCTCCTGCATTTGGTAGTTTTCCATCTTGTACTTTAAAAATTCAGCTACGTTAAGGGCATTTTTGTTCAATTTCACATAGTTTAAGGGTATTTCGACCCTTTTTTTTTGTTTTTCTAATTAAACGTGTTCAAATGATATAATCTTTATGGCCATTCAGCAGAAATTCACATTTGAAAATCAGAAGTGTTTTTATTATTTGTGGTCTATTCCTTAAAGAGTTTGGTGCAACATTTGCTATTTTATTTAAAGTTTAGTTTAGTGTCTAGCTTATTGTTTTGAGTATTTGATGGAATTTTTCTAATGTTTTTTATTGAAGTTTATTTTCTTCAAAACATTCATTTGTTAATTCATTACCGATAAAATATGTTTAAAGAATCATACAACATTTACAATTTAACTTGGAAATATTCGTTCCCAAGAAAAATTAACAAAGAAGTTGAAAACTTAGCTACGTTATGAGCTACAATATTAAAACTTCTAGAAATATGTACAAACACGTCTTGCTTTAGATATGCAGATATTCTAATAATCTTCACAAGCTACATTCATATTCCGAGTAGCCTTCGTATTTTTCTTCAATTATATCTACTGCACCTTTCACACTACAGCTGAGCTTGTCCATCTTGTATCACTTTTTTCATAGCTATTCTTATTATATCATAAACTTGTCGACGAATGCATGAAGCAAAACATCCTTGCTATCCATAGTAACCAAATCAATACTTACCTTCTTTGATTCAACTTGTAATCGTGCATGACATTTAAACAAATCTTATTAAATACTTTAATTAATATTTCATAATTCTCTTGAAAATTACTATTCACAAGCATTTATTCAAGAAATTCGTTATATTTTGTCACTACCGAAGAGTCAATTAATTCATTATTAAAACTCCAACTCCCATATCATTATTATCAATATTGTTGATTAACTTTCTTTTTCCACAATATTCAAATCTAAACAGAGTTTATTTAAAATATTAAACAAAAATACATCTTTTTTTATTAACTTAATAATAAATTAAAATTTCTAGAATATGTTTAAGAAATTACTTTGAATAAATCATGACCATTTTGTCATTAGCTCCAATTTTGAGCGGGAAAACCCTGAAAAGATTGTGATGGAAGTTTCAAGTCTTCCGATATCGGCGTCGCTGAGAGCGAAGCTTATCTCCGGCGGCTACACTTCTATATCTTCTCTCTTTTCCGTTTCTCACTCCGATATTGCCCGCGGTATACTTCTTCTCTCTGTCAAATTTATTTTTTCAAATTTATTACTATTAATGCTCTGAATCTGTCTTTGAATTGACTAGCAATCGGTTTATAAGTTAGCTAGTTTATTTGTTTTCGCGTAGTGAAATATATGTAGAGAAAGAGAGGCGCTTTGAATTGGGCTCTTACTAGTGGAATTGGGGAGAATCTAGTTTTCATTTGTTGAATTAATGTCTAATTTGATCGATAGTTAAGGTGCCGGACTCAGATTTTGAGCTCCAAGTTGTATGATGCCTGAAAGGTTTTAATAATCTTCTGCTGGAAATATGATATTCTTTTTACTAGGAAAGGTTAACTGAATAAAGGAGAGGCGGAGTCGGGATTTTTAGTTTATGGCTTTCGGACCACAATTGTCAGGATTCTTCTGGAATTTGATAACTTTTGTAATGACTGGTGAATTATAGCGTTGATAACTTGTTTTCTGATTTGTATACGCACAACAAGGTCAAGTAATATGTATTTTGATTCAGTTCCTTGATCTTTTTTGGTGCTTAGAATTCAAAATTTTATATACTGCTCGTGGCTTTTGTTTGACAAAATTGGAAAAGTGAAATGAGGTTTGATTGAAAAAATAATTTCGAGAAAAGTTCTAATTGTTTTCGAAAAACTCGAAACATTGAAGATCATTTCATTGTTTTTTCAAACAAACACCACCTTAATACTAGTTAGAAATTTGTTGATTGAAAGAATTTGGAAATGGAGTCCGGAGATTGAACGAGATGATGCTAGATTTCCTATAATACTGGAGTTTTTGGGGAAATTTGTTGGTTTATTTGGCTTGAGTCCTTGTTTGAGTTTATTTGATCATTCATCATGTAGGATTGAGTTGGTGCTTTCATCAATATAGAGTCAGTCTTGATCTTCACTCTCCTAACTCACTTTAAATTTGTTATATAATCATGGGATGTACAAATTTGGTTGAGTTAAGAGAAGGACCAAGAGCCCTTTATATAGTTTCTAAAGTCTCTTTCTTACGGTAAGAGTCGCCATAAATAAAGACTATTAATCCTTCCTCTACATTCAAATATGTAAATCTGTGATGTATGTTTCTTCTAAGTGTATGTATTTAATATATAGACATTCATATCCACGAGTGTATCTAAGTATTGTTATACCATTAGTTATCTATATACATTGCATGTGCATTAATCTCCTATAAAAGTCCAAGTACATGTGTAGGAGATATGCATGCATTCATATAGTCATGAGTCTTAACTGTCAAATTTTGCTAACAGATAATCAGAAGATTTTCGAAGTAGTTGCATTAAGCTTACAGTGTTTTCTCGACATTTGAGGAGGAGGGTCTTAGATTTGGTTCCTGATGAGACTTGTGCTAATAAAACTATTGCTCTATGTTGAATAATCTTTACTGTTACGCAACTCTGCTTTCCGTTTGTGTCCAGTATTACTCATTTGTCAGTTTAGCTCCAGTATTATAGGAAATCTAGCATCATCCTTCAACTCGTTCAATCTCCAGACTCCATTTCCAAATTCTTCAATCAACACATTTCTAACTAGTATTAAGGTGGTGTTTGTTTCAAAAAATAATGAAATGATCTTTAATTTTTCCAGTTTTTCGAAAACAATTAGAAGTTTTCTCGAAATTCTTTTTTCAATCAATCCTCATTTCACATTTTTCCAATTTTTGTAAAACAAAAGCTATTGTTCTCAGCTCCGCCATTGAAGCTAAAATTAAAGAACAAAATATTTCGAATTCTAAAGATCAAGGAACTGAATCAAGATACATATTACTTGATCATCTTGTATGTATACGAATCAGAAAACAAGTTATCGACCCTGTAATTCGCTGATCATTACGAAATTATCAGATTCCAGAAGAGTCCCGCCAATTGTGGTCCAGAAGCCATAAACTAAAAATCCTGGCTCCACCTCTCCTTAGTTCAATTAACCTTTCCTAGTGAAAGGAATAACATATATCCAACAGAAGATTATTAAAACCTTTCAAGCATCAACTTGGAGCTCAAAATTTGAGTCCGGCACCTTAACTGGTGATCAAATTAAACATTATTTCAACATATGAAAACTAGATTCTCCCTAATTCCACTTGTAAGAACCCAATTCTCGTCAGTGTTAGGTGTCCATCAAATACAGTGGGGACGGGTTGGAGTGTATTATTGTCAGATGGAGGTGTCTAGATGTGCATGCAAAGTTGGAGGGATTACTTGACAGTTGAGGCCAAGTTTGAGTGTCGGTTTATGTATTATGCCTTTATCACACATGCAAAGTTGGAGGGATTACTTGACAGTTGGAATGTCTGTTTATGTATTATGCCTTTAACACATGCAAAGTTATTGGATTCTGCTGAACCCGCAGCCACCATTATAGCTCTGCCGCTGGATGGAAGGGGAACTCATTTTTTAGGAGAATTAGGAAAAGAATAAGCTTGGAGCTACAACAAAGAGAAGCTTAAATTTGCATGACTTTCATTTTCTTTCAGTTATAGTTTTTTTATTAAGTGTGATGGACACTAAAACAGATTAAGTTTTGTTTAACGAGTGACACCAATGTTATTCCTAATTAATGTTTTTATGCATATGTAGAATATTTCATTGTTTTTACTTTATCTGTTATAGATCTAAAGATTTCAGAAAATGAGGCGCTCGAGATTTTGAGAGTTGCATCACAAAGGAGGGGATCGGAAAGATGTAATGGAACTAGCTCTATTGTCAATGGTATGTTATAACTACTATTCTCTCTCCTTTTGAAAACTTGATGTTTTGTCCATTAGAAGTCATCTAGGTAATACTTACAGTAATTTACAATTATGAGGTCATTTGTTCAATGATTAAGTTTGTTTCAGTGTGACTTGTTGACAGTAGCATGTAGTGTCATTTTTTCTGCTTTGATTATTTGGCAAATAGGAAGCATATTTAGTTATGTGTATCTTGGGTATAGGAGCACAGAGTGCCTGGGAAATGCTAAACGAGGAGAAATCGCTTGGACGTATCACAACATCCTGTTCAGAATTGGATGACATCTTGGGTGGGGGTATAAGTTGCAGAGAGGTTACTGAAATTGGTTAGTGTTTTAACCTCTACATATGCTTGCCCATTACTAACATATCATAAGGTGTTCACTCTTGCTTATTGGCATTTCTAAGACAACATGTTTGCAGTTCTTATCAAGTGAAGGTAAAATATTTTCTGATTGTTTCAGGTGGGGTGCCAGGAATTGGTAAAACGCAACTTGGGTAATTGTTGTCATATGTACTTCCTGTGTATTAGAAATACCTTCATTTTTGTTTCTAGTGGTTAAGACGCTTCAAAATTCAGGATACAACTTGCAGTGAACGTTCAAATTCCCATGGATTATGGCGGTCTCCAAGGCAAGGCAGTATATATAGGTACGTGCTGATAGAGTTGTCTTTTTCTTCACATCTTACATCAATTATAGCTAGTCTCTTTCTAAAATCAGCCAAGCACTTAGTGTGATATGCACTTTGTAGATACAGAAGGAAGCTTCATGGTGGAGCGTGCTTTACAAATTGCTGAAGCTTGTTTGGAAGATATGCGCGAATATCATGGATTTTTAAAGAGGGATTTACAAGCTTGTCAAGTTAACATGCAGCCAAAGGATTTCCTTGAGAATATATTCTATTTTCGCGTTTGTAGTTACACTGAGCAAATTGCTGTTGTAAATTACTTGGAAAAGTTCATCTCAGAGCATAAAGATGTGGGTAGAGTAACTCTTTCTTTTTAATTATTCATCTCCATTACTAAAATATGTAATATCTTAAATTTCATTCTTAATAGGTTAAGGTTGTTATTATTGATAGCATTACATTCCATTTCCGTCAAGATTTTGATGACATGGCCCTTAGAACCAGACTACTGGGTGGAATGGCTTTAAAGTTGATGAAGCTTGCAAAGAAATATACTTTGGCAGTAAGGATGACTTTGTTCCTACGTGATTATCTTCTGTACACAATTTGATAGTTTTATTTGCTATTATGCCAATTTATTAACATATGATTTATTTGTGTAGGTCATCCTCTTGAATCAAGTAACCACCAAGTATACAGACGGCCAATATCAATTAACTCTTGCATTAGGTAATTACAAAGCCTCCTTTTGTAATGATATAACTTGGTACAACGCATACCTGCTATGTTTCTGATTTTGACCCCGAACCCACCACATTCCCAAAGAAAACTGTTCTCTTTTGCTGATGTGGGAAAGCAAAGTTGGTGATCTTACTGTATTGAGCATCTATGTTGCTCGGACTCTTCAAAACTGTCATCGGGTGTGCATTTTTTATGGATCCAACACGGGTGTGGCAACATTTTTAGAGAGTCGAAGCAACTTAGTTGAGCATTGTACCTATTAGCTTATTAACAAGTCTTGCTTAAACAGGAGATAGCTGGTCACATGCTTGCACTAACCGGGTGATTCTATACTGGAATGGTAACGAAAGGTATGCATACATTGACAAGTCGCCTTCTGTTCGATCAGCAGCAGCCGCATATTCCGTAACAGGCAGAGGGATTCGGAGCTGTGTTTCAAACTGTAAACGAGTCAAGATGATGTAAGTTCTTGGTTTAAATTTTAAGGATAAATGAATGGAACTCGTTTCTATCTTTCTCCAGGGTGAGAAACTGAGCTTTACATGAAGTGACATGATCTTGTAAATACTGTGGTTAGCCATGAGTCTCTGTTGTATGAGAAAATAAATTATTTGTGTAGCATCTTATTTAAATACAAGTTAACAAATGATTCTACTCGTTAAGTTTCTCATTTCAACTGCGAGCAACTCTTACTCATTTGGTTGGGAACAAGTTATTCATTTCTAGGTTTGTCATCTTACCATATTGTGGGATAAAAACAACACTTTAATCTGGAGATAACTAATTTCGGAATAAGTTATCTTGCAATTTCATCTCAATTAAACATCCTGACCCCGGAAAAACCTAATCCATGCGGCTGCTCGTGAATGGTTACTTAGAAGCCTCTCCTGAGTCTCAAACTGTGGGAGAGTCAAACCTTATAAATACATATGCATCTCTAATGAATTATAATCTTACGGCACTGACCAAAACAATCTTGAAACCTATTCAATTAATACACGGGGAACCAACTGTCTGATTTACTTCTAAGGAATTAGATGAGTATGTCGTTGAAGAGGGACTTCATCAAGCCGTGATTATGAAGCTTTCCTATGGTACGCCAAGCTTACACGAATTGAGAAAATTAATTCCAAAACAGTTGGTCATCAAAGGACGTTATTTAATTGGCTCGCGACGTCTTTTAATTCGGTGTGATCTTTATGAAGGTTTTTGCTCTGTTCTTTCAAAACAGTTTGGTTATCTTCAATTTAATGGGGAACAACATCTGTTCCGTAACTTTCCATGGACACAATTTTAACCCTAAGGAAGAAACTTCAAAAGCTTTGGCGTGGGTTTCGCTACCGGATCTGTTGCCAAATCTTTTTGCTCGAAGACCTTTGTTATCCATTGCATCGGCTATTGGTAAGCAGTAGCCATAGATAAAGCCACTTAAAATAGGACAAGACCTAGCACAACTAGAGTTAAGGTCATTCTTGATCTTATGGACAAACATCCGAAACGAGTAAGGATGCATTTTTTGGATGAACAATCTGGTAAGCTCATTGAACACTATCAACAGGTTGTGTTTGATAATCTTCCTTTGTATTGTACCTATTGTAAGCACCAAGGTCATGAAGATGTTGATTGCCGACTAATGATCCAGAAAAACAAAAGGGAAGAGGGTAATCAAGATGACATCGGGCAGCAAGGTGACAAAACAAACAATCTGGAACAATTGCAGGGTGATGCACGAGACTTCTTGAATGCAAAAAAAAAACTGAAAATAAAGTCTCTAATGATACAGATAATGCAAGTAATGTGAACGGAACACCGAATATCAATTCTATGCAGCACCTAACTACTGAAAATAGTGGGGCGATACAAGGCTAGAAGTAGTTGGTCAAAGGTCAGTGCCTGGAACAAAGGTTTGGGAGGGCCTTTTGGTGCCTGGACCAGAGGTTCAGTTGTTAAACATCTCTGGAAAAGGTTTGGCTGATGCTACGAAAACTTCAGATAAGGGCCAAGGATATCAAGAAGGCTATACATGTGTAATTTCATGTGAAGATCAAGTTGGTTCGAATGCAGGTCAGGTGCTTGATCGAAATTCGATTGCAACGTGGAAACTTGAAAATTCTGGGAAGCAAACATGTCAAACTGAAGTTGGGCAGCAACTAAATTATAATGCTACTGAAAAAGAAAGTGTTACAGCTACAGGGATCGCGAGGGTAGGGAGTGAACCTGCAGATACAACAAATGATAAGATTGGGCTTCAAGAAAAGACAACTAATTCAAAGGCTTTTGGTGTTGCGTCGCAAGTCGCTTCTGGAAAGCTATTGACTGAAGATGTAGCCATTAACACAACTGCTACTTTTGTGGCGCAAATAAAAGAACTTGGACAGTCTAATATAGTTGATAGAGCAGGGTAACAGTTGATGTTGGAGCTCAAATTGGTTCTCCTGGAGCCTCTCAAATTAAGCCTCATGTTGCTCCTAAGTTGAATATGGTTAATTCTCATGCTCTACCGATTGTTTCAATCTCTCAAGTTACTTCGACAAATAATTTGATCACTTCTAGCGGGCAAAAAGGTGTTACAGGTGAGTCGATGGGTCGATCGGGTGGAAGAAGAGGATGAACATGTCACAACTCATAGAAAATTGAGCCCCGAAGCACCATTTTTTGTGCCTAAGGGTAGTGGCATTTCCAGTGATTCATCCCCATTACATATAGGGCGACAATTGGTTTTAACAGGTACTAAGGTTCAAAAAGTTTCAGTTGGTGACAAAGAGCTTCTTGATGCGTTGGTGAGTTATAATGTTAAAAAGTTGACTTCTCTTACGCCTATTAACACAAACAAACAACTACAAGATGTTGGTAGTAGTTCTTTCTGCACAAATAGATTTGCTAACCTACAAGATGAGGACACCTTTGAGGAAAGTGAAGAATATGATAAGTTGAATAATTGTTTTGCAAATGCAGCTAGGGATGCATATATTTCTCCTAGGCAACAACAAAAAGAAGCATGGAAGAAAAAATAGTTGGGATGATAAGATGACTGAGGAGTTTATTCCAAGGCACCTACCGATGCAACTGACAAAGTAGAATCATATGACAATGTTAACAACTTTAACAAGATCCAATAAATCTAAGAAGAATAAATGAACTGTCAAGTATTGTTAGACTGATTTGAAGAGGTAGACAAGAGGAAAACACTCCAGGTTACTTTAGAAGGGCAATCTGTCTTTTTTAGTTCATACTTTTGTAAAACGAAGTTTGAGTTTAATTACTCAAATCTCATCATGACTTTTATACTTTTGTACTACTTAAGCATCCTCATTTGTAATATCATCATAGAGTGTATTATAAACTCTGTGATGATCATATAATACTTAGTTCTCTCTAGCTTTTATTTTCTTCATGCGGGTTATTTAGTAGAGGTTTCGTACCTCATTAGAATTGGTAAGGTAAGGTCTAGTCCCCCTTGCTTGTACTTATCTTTGTTGAGGTTTTCTTTTAATTATATTATTAATAAAAGGCCGCTAGACACTGTCTAGTGGTATAAATTCAAAAAAAAAAAAAAAACTCTTATCCTTCTTACCAAACGATTATAATGAATGCAACTAATATAGATAAAGTAATCAGTACTTTCCAAAATGATAGTAACAATTAAGTAACTTAGAAGACATTATATAGTTTTAACTCACTCACTTTACTTTGATCTTTAATGACTACGTTTAACTTTCTTTCTTTGATGTGTGTATGTAGACTGTAGTTACTCTCTTTTTAGTCTATTTATATTTTAAAGAGAAAATATTTTATAAAAATGTCAGAAGTGGGATTTGAACCCACGCCCTCTTACGAAGACCAGAACTTGAGTCTGGCGCCTTAGACCACTCGGCCATCCTGACTTGATGTGCTTTTAACTTCATTTTCTGGTTATATACTGTTAGTACTTTGAATTCGAACATACAAAACTAAAAGTTATCCCTCCATTTTTAATCAGTTGTCACATTTTAGGTTTCAAGCCCCTTAATAAACTAGGTAAGTTAATCACTATTTAGTATTTTCTTTAAGTCAAGTTTTCAATAAATAATCCTACGCGACATAATTTGAACTTCAATATAAATATCGAATGTCAAGTGAAAACCAAATAAGGCACAAGTTAAATAAAAAAAAAACAAAAGTGGTTATAATAACTAGGTGAAGAGCAAGTTAATTTGTATTGGTTGCTGCTATTTTTAGTGCCAAGTGGTCTTTGCGCCTTGTAATTGCCGCCTGCTAAAAATGACCAAACTGCTATTGCGTGCGTCTATAACGACAGCCCCAAAGCTCCAACAACTCCACACAGCATCAGTATCAGTAAGGTTTAAGGGATCGGTTGATAACTGATTTAGAGATGAGTTATACATGTATTAAATTATACGTTTCAGAGCTTAAGAATAAATTATTTATTTATATAATGAATATGATATTTAATTTATAATTTAAAAGTTGATATAATTAATATATATATAAATTATGAGAGGATTTTTATATTATTTTATAAAAATGATAGAATTTATATTAAATCATGCATCGATTTCTTATAAGTAATCCTTATATTGTTAATATCAGTATAATTTTAATTAGCTATCAAAGTGTTTAATTCTACCAAATGTTCCCTTCTTAATTTCTTTATTTATAGATTATTCACGCATTAGTGAATTTTTTTACTAGATAAGGGTATTAACTTCTTTTGTTTCTTTCTCCATTCAAAGAAGTAAATGTGTATATTAAAGGGGTGATTAATTAAATATCTTTTATTGAGTATATATATATATATATATATATATATATATATATGTTTTTCTTGAATACACTTAATAAATTTTTCGATTTCAATGCTACAAAGAAGGATTTGTTTTCTCTTTAAACTAAATTTGACAATTCTAGAACAATATAAAAAAAATTAAAAATCTTAAGCCTGACATAGAATTCCACATCAAAAACTAGTAGGTACAATATTTTTTAGTAATTCTTTTTTCACTAAAAATATGTTTAAAATTTTTCAGTTGGATTTTGCTATATGGTTAGGTGAGATGATTTTTTTGACCCAAAACATAGCTTCCACCAACTCTTTTTTAGGGACTTCTTATGTTGTTGATGAAGGGTGTCAAAGTTAACAAACCTAATTTGGTTGTTGGATTCTTGTATTCCACCCACCTAATTTAATAATATTATTTAGTATTTCCATATTATTTTATTTTTTATATTTATTCTTTATTATTATTATTATTATTTGTTTTATTCATTTTGCTTATCTTGCTATTTTATTGACATATCATTTTGTTTTGATTACATTTCTTTTGAATTGAGCATATATTAGAATTCAGAAACAACATCTCTATCTCCACAGATATCTAACAAAGTCTCCGTATATTTTACCCTTTTCAAATTCATGATATTTCACTTACATATGTTATTGTACCTAATATTTCTCCAAGTTTCTCTACTTGGTTTTTTTCTTCCTTATTTTTTTTTATAGCCATAATCAATTTTGAGAATATGCTACTATTCTACATCATTTTATTTAATACAAAGAGAAAAAAAATAGAGAGAATATAAATAATATATTCCTTTCAAATGTCTCCTTCATTCTTGGTCATGGTTTTTTTTCCAAAAAATTGCTTTCATCTCATCACTCTCACTAAATGGCTTCTATCAAACTTCTCAAGTTTCAGAAGAAGAAAAAAATCATTAATTTTGGAAGATTAACATTATGGCAATTGACTTGAAACAACAAAGAACCAAAATAAAACAAAATGGTCCCAAAAAAACCAAAATAAAGCAAATAAAGAAATTCCCTTTTAACAAGTATTTACACTCGTTCTATATGACAATTGTTTTATATTATATCATGTATGATATGTGTGTTTATTTGTTCAACTAATTATATATTCTTAATAAAGAGCGTTTTTATTTGAATTGGGTACTACACAATGTGAATCTAGATATCATCCTCCATTCTAATATAACTATCGTACATCAAATAATTTTTATTTTTTTGTATATTATTATATATTAAATAAATTAAAATTAAAAGACATATTTATATATTAATTAAGTATAGTTGCATGACATTGACCTACGCGTAAGTATCTCTTAGAGCCAAAAGGAGCCAATCCCTAAAAATAAATCCTCAAAAGTCATATAAAGGCCACTCTACATTTCATTTTCCTAATTTATATCAACTCATCTTCTCACATTTCTCTCTCTGTAAGCCATGGCTTCTTCTTCTCTCACTCTCTCTCAAGCTATCCTTTCTCGTTCAGTTTCTCGCCATGGCTCTTCTTCTTCCACAAACTCTCAGCTTTACCCTTCTTCCCTCTCTCTTCCAACTTTTTCCGGTCTTAAATCCACCACTGCTACCTCATACCGCCGCCATATTCTTCCCTCCGCCGCCGCCTCCGGCAGACACTCCGCGATTCGCGCTTCAGCTGCTGTGGAGACTTTAGAGAAAACTGATAATGCCCTTGTTGAGAAATCTGTAAATACGATCAGATTTTTGGCTATTGATGCTGTTGAAAAGGCGAATTCGGGTCATCCGGGTTTACCTATGGGATGTGCTCCTATGGGTCATATATTGTACGATGAGATCATGAGGTATAACCCCAAGAACCCTTATTGGTTTAATCGTGATCGCTTTGTTCTCTCCGCCGGACATGGATGTATGCTTCAGTATGCTTTGCTTCACCTCGCTGGCTATGATGCTGTCAGGGTAAAAATCCTTAAGCCTTTTAACTCTTTTCTGCCCTTAAATTTGTGTATGCATGAGTGGATCTATATATTTTCTGCTTTGTGTTTTTATTTTTCTGAATTGGATCTTTAAAAGCTTCTTATCTTTTTGAGTTCTGCAGAGAATTATGTTTCACTAAAAGGGGAAATGGCTTGTGCTCTAATGGGTGCAGGTCATTTTCCCTTTATAACTATTTTTAGCTCTTATACTTCATATCACTTGCTACAACCAATACTTGCACACTGTTATCAGTATTTGATACTAAAAGAATTCATTGAAGCACTATCTAATTTGCGATAAATATTTTTTCAGAAGATATTTTTCACTAACCAATCAATGATTCACTTGAAATTAAGTGGGTAAACCATGGAAAATATTTTCCTTCATACCAAAGACACATCTTTCTGGTATATCCATTTCATTTGCAGAAAAATATTTCCTCCATACAGCACTGAAAACTGAAACATGATTTTTGGTACACTTTGGACAGTTACTAATAATTTTTATCTGTCTTTTAGCTTAATGAGCTTATGTCTTTTGAAGTGTTTGTACTTAGAATTTACTTAGATTACATTTGGAGTTAATTTCTGCCGTTGTGTTGTTTAAACTGTGCTGATGATGTTTACTGTTATATTTTGACTAGGAAGAGGACTTGAAGAGCTTCCGTCAGTGGGGAAGCAAAACCCCTGGACACCCCGAGAACTTTGAGACACCTGGTGTTGAAGTCACTACTGGTTAGTGCACTTTTTATATGTCCGTCTACATTTATTAGATTTCTATCTGGTGGTGTATTATGTATATATGTGTAGGTAGCTTTTCGTTGAGAGCTGTATAACTGATTATGATATTTATTTTCTTGCGGTTAGGGCCTCTTGGACAAGGGATTGCCAATGCCGTTGGCTTGGCCCTCTCAGAGAAGCACTTGGCTGCTCGTTTCAATAAACCTGATACTGAGATTGTAGACCACTACACGTGAGAGTCTCCTCACTCTCTCTTTTTTATTTTTTCTTTTGAATGCCATAAACAATTCTAGGATTTAATGCAGCCTGTTTGTTTGGCTAATGGCATTGGTGTTCATGCAGCTATTGTATTGTTGGTGATGGTTGCCAGATGGAGGGTATTTCACAAGAAGCTGCTTCTCTTGCTGGACACTGGGGGCTCGGAAAGTTGATTGCTTTCTATGATGACAACCACATCTCAATTGATGGTGACACAGAAATCGCTTTCACTGAGGATGTTGCTGCCCGTTATGAGGCTCTTGGTTGGCATGTAATCTGGGTGAAGAATGGTAACACTGGTTATGATGAGATTCGTGCTGCCATTAAGGAAGCAAAAGCAGTCACAGACAAACCCACTTTGATCAAGGTACTTTACCCGTTGCATCTGTATGTTGGGTACTAGGAGGTAATCCTGGAAAGTAGTATTATGGTTGAGTTATTGTATATACTTTGTTGCATCTTTTTGCCCTTGTTTCTTATTGATTACTTTACATTTCATTTTTGCAACCCATTTCCTTTATTTTTTGTTTCCCTCAGTTAGGATGCATGATTAATTCATTATTTGTAATGTCACTATAGATTCCTTTATAGATTCAGTTCATATCGTTTATCATTAGGTTTACTGAACCTTTCTCCTTTCAGGTGACTACAACCATTGGTTTTGGCTCGCCCAACAAGTCAAACAGTTACAGTGTACACGGAAGCGCACTTGGAGCTAAGGAAGTAGAAGCCACAAGGCAGAACTTGGGATGGCCTTATGAGCCTTTCCATGTGCCTGAAGAAGTCAAGAGGTACTATTCCGTTCCCGTTTTCCAGATTCATTTGAACATTATTGGTAACTTACTAGCTATTGGTGCACTTGCTACTTCTTGAAGCCATTGGAGCCGTCATGTTCCCGAGGGTGCTGCTCTTGAAGCTGGATGGAATTCTAAGTTTGCTGAATATGAGAAGAAGTACCCAGAGGAAGCTGCAGACCTCAAATCCATCATCACTGGTGAACTACCTGCTGACTGGGAGAAAGCTCTTCCTGTAAGTAGTCATTTTTATCGTTCTCTCTCCAATTGAAAAGCTGACTTCAACTGCTTTTGGTTTGCACTATCTTCATATTGAGTTCTTAGTTTTTGGGTGGTTTTATGTATTTTTGCCTCCTTATATAGACGAGAGTTTGTTTCAGTTTTACCCAACATTCTATAAGTCAAATCAACTATTTTGCATCACAATTCCTTGGTCATGCTTTTCTATTTAATCATTCTTCCTAAATACCCGTCTAGTTCTGGAACATGTAAATAAATCTATACTGATTAATTACTTTGCTTGCTTTCTGAATCTCAGACCTACACACCTGAAAGTCCAGCAGATGCCACCAGAAACTTGTCCCAACAAAACTTGAATGCTCTTGCCAAGGTTCTTCCTGGTTTCCTTGGTGGTAGTGCTGATCTTGCCTCATCAAACATGACCCTCATGAAAATGTTTGGTGACTTCCAAAAGAGCACCCCAGAGGAGCGTAATATAAGATTTGGTGTTCGTGAACATGGTATGGGAGCTATCTGTAATGGAATTGCTCTCCACAGCCCCGGCTTAATTCCCTACTGTGCTACTTTCTTTGTGTTTACTGACTACATGAGAGCAGCCATTAGAATTTCAGCTTTGGCTGAATCACGCGTTATCTATGTTATGACTCATGATTCAATTGGGCTTGGAGAAGATGGCCCTACACATCAGCCCATTGAGCATTTGGCAAGTTTCCGTGCAATGCCCAATGTTCTGATGCTCCGCCCAGCAGATGGTAATGAAACAGCTGGTGCTTACAGGGTGGCCATCCTCAAGAGTAAGACACCATCCATCCTGGCTCTTTCTCGGCAAAAGTTGCCTCAGCTTGCTGGAACTTCTATTGAAGGAACAGCAAAAGGTGGCTACACTATATCAGACAACTCTTCAGGCAACAAGCCTGATGTCATTTTGATTGGTACTGGCTCAGAGCTGGAAATTGCTGTCAAGGCTGCTGATGAACTCAGAAAGGAAGGAAAGGCCGTGAGAGTTGTCTCCTTCGTTTCTTGGGAGCTTTTCGATGAGCAATCAGCTGAGTACAAGGAAAGTGTCCTTCCAGCAGCTGTTACCGCTAGAGTTAGCATTGAAGCTGGAACCACATTTGGGTGGGAGAGGATTGTCGGATCCAAGGGGAAGGCCATTGGAATTGACAGATTCGGTGCCAGTGCCCCTGCTGGAAAAATATACAAGGAGTTTGGAATCACAGCAGAGGCTGTTATAGCTGCAGCTAAACAAGTTTCTTAGACTCTTATTACTTACCCTTGGTTGCTGGCGTCTACCAAAGTTGTTTTCGTTTTGGTTCTGAGGTTGGAGATAATGGTGGAAATCGATACCAAGTGGCCTCGGCAGTTCTGATATTTTCAATAAAGACAATTTCTTCGTCATTTTCTTCAGTTTGAGCAGCGGGGCAACCAGAATGAACCCAAGATGAGGATAGAAATAGGCTTTTATGGATGCTCCTGACCCATGTACACTTAAACATATCTTTGAGTTTTGTAACTTTTGTTTGGTCGAGTGATAATGAGGTCAATTTATAATTGGAATTTCAGGTCTTCTGATAAACAAGGGGCTTTCTTTGTCTTTACTATAGTTATCACTTTGTGGCTATCTGTTCCAAAGCAATTGGACCAAATAATCTTTTGGCAACATTCATTACAAAGTATTGCCTTAATGGTACTGATGAAAGTACATATGTTCTACCATTAAACTAGACTGTGTCTGCACATTTTTCTGCTTAATTTTAAATGGCTGGGGGAGAAGTTATCATTCGTTTGGTGTGAGGGATAAAAATAAATAGTGGTGGGATAAAATTTTTGTTTCTTGTTTGGTTGCCATGTTTGGGATAACTTATCCCACCATTTATACCATAGTGATGGGATAAGTTATCCCAGGATAACTAGTCCTGCGATAATTTGTTCCAAACCAAACGATAGGTGATATTTTAACTTCTCTTATATTAATCACTGATATGCTAATGACGAATTGGATTATTGTATTTCTCTTTTATTAGCTTTTGGTTCTAAGCCATGGAAGAAAAATATGGAAATCTAATTTTGTGAAGCTAACATGAGTCTTTTCTAAGCAACTCATGTTCAATTTTAAGCTCGGAGGATTATATTAAAGAGTAGTATATTACAACTTAGGTTCAATTTTACTTTTTATATGAATTAAAGTTCAATCAATAAATGTTGTATTTTTTAGTATAAACATGTGGTAATATATTATACTTTGTTTATGAATTTTTGCTCATTTGGCAAGCTTGTATAAGAGTTGGATTTTTTTTGGTAATTTCTACAACTTGTGGGATTTTTCTGTTTATGAGAAAAAAAAATACAACATGAGAAATTCATATTGCATATCTAAACTAAAACTTCAACTTCATACTAATCTGAGTTCATATCATGATTTTGTATCGTATTTCCAAACGAGCTCTAGTATATCAGTATTACATCAAATGAATCCAAATTAGTCAAGACAATGAGTTCTGAATAAAAAAGTTATGTGGCCCTACCATAGACAAAGGGTTGAAGGATGGTGATTTGTCTCCATCCAAAGTTATGTGGTAGTTGAAACTTTTGGTTGTTCTTGATTGTTGAAAGTCTAGCTTTAATCCTTCCTATCCACAGTGTCTCCTTCCACTTTTTGAATCAAATAGTATGTGAAAGTTATAGGCTCTTTGTTAGGTCAATTTTTGTCCAACCAGGTTGTTGAGTATGGTCCCACTCTATTTTTAGAATAATGTTTTGGAGCTTTAGCATATTCTCCATTTTTAATTGTTCCATTACATTAAAGTAATGTTTGGATGACTAAAGTTGGTACATTAAATTATCTTATCTTAGTGATTTTATCTACCTACTTTAATCATCCACATCTCACCAACCCACTAAACATCTTTACTAGTGTTGTTCTCTTTATTTTTATCTTATAAAAAAACATGAAATTTAAGAATTGTAATTTGAAATTCTTATTTATCATAATATTTATGTGAGTATAATTTTTTGTAAATCATAATTTTCTATTAAATTAGTTATTATGGGAAGAAGGCTTGGGGCTTCATTTGCTTGCAGTGGGAATTTGAATGGTTCAAACTTTAGGTCATTAAGTGAATTTTATTTATATTATAAGATTTAAATACTTATTTGGTTTGAGTTAAACAAAATCTTAATATCATGAAATACATTTTTTTATGAATAATTTTCACCATCAATCCACAATCACCTGTTGTCACCACCATCACTATCACCACCAGCATTGTCAACTATCATTATCCTCATTAATCACTAGCTATCTCTATCATCACAATCGTCATAACCGTCAACTATTATTATTGATCGCTACCACCTATCACATTCATCATTATAATTATATTCACTATTACCACCACCTCCATTACCATCAATGCGACCAATCCCTACTACTGACTACCTCCACACTGATGTCAATTACCATCAACATATCGTCAACCACCACACATTATTTAACTATCACCAACCAACTTCACCGTCACAACCATTATCACGCTAGTAACTACAAACACCAATCACATCCACCCAGGGCCGTCTTAACCCCTAGGCCACTAAAGCCATCGCTTGGGGCCCCATATTTTTTGGGGCCCCATATTTTTTGGGGCCCCCATTTTAAAAAAAACAATTACTTATATATATTATTTTTAAAAAAAATAAAATTATATGTACCATGAGTGCTATGATTTCTACTAAAGAAATTGCATATGACATGAATATAAATATGATTTTCGTAAGAAACAATTTGATGAAAATATGGATAACAAAATCACTAAGTTCCTTGAAGAATCTTTAGAGTTGATCATTATGTTATATATGTAGAGTAGATCAAACTATTTTTTTCAATTTAAAATAAATTTGAACCAATTGAAGCATATAAAAATACTTTTGATTTCTTATTTAGTGGTAAAATATTGAGATTACTTGATGATGAAATTTAAAAAAATATATTGTCTTAACCTTCAACTTTCTTTAACACATACTAGTTATTTTGAATTGATGGTTTAGATTTATTTTTTGAAGTAAAAGTGTTAAAGATAAATAATACAAGTAGAAGATAATGTTGTAATGAAAATACTCAATCAAATAAAAGATTTGATTCTTTTCCAAATACACATATTGTGTTAACTGTTCTTATAACCGTTGTCTCAACCAAATTTTTCTTTGTTCGAAATTAAAATTGATTAAATCTTCTTTAAGATCAACAATGTCTCAAGATAGATTGAATGAATTAGCTATATTATCATTTGAAAAGGAATTATTAAAACAAATTGATTATAAAACAATACTTAATGACTTTGCATCTGAAATAGCTAGAAAAATATATTTTAAATAAAAGTACATATGATGAAAAATAATAATTAGGGCCCCTCTCTTAAGTTTCGCTTTAGGCCCCCAATATTGTTGAGTCGGCCCTGCATCCACCATCACAACTATCATTACCACCATGTGTACAAACTATCTTCCACCATCACTAGCAAACATAAATGTTTCATTCTCTTTTATTTATAATAAGAAGTATTATTATATTTATATTCATATCTTTTTATATTTAATTACTCTTTTATTTGAATGGTATACTTATTATGTTTATGAACAAATAAATTAGGTAATTCAAATTTTGAAAAACAAACAATTTTAATTATGTAATGATCAGAGACAATATCTTAATCATTTATATATGTATTTAGATTTAATTATCTTAATTTTAATGAAAGCAAATGAGAGCTAGTAGGTGATCTGGTAGTGTCCAACAGCTATCAAACTTTAGATTGACATAAAATCACAACTAATCCAATATCATAAAATCACAACTAATCCAATATCATTTGCGATTATTAGTCCAGATAAAAATGAAAAATACTTTTGAGTAAGTAAAACCTAATATATGGCACAAGTGATCTCAATATTTGTTGAAGGTAGAATGTTGTACATTTTAAAAAGTAAATCAATCATTCAATAAATTGAGGCTGGTAATTGTTACTATAATGTATCGTAAATGTTTAAAAATTCGAGATGTCCAAACTAATTAATTCAAACCAAACATAAAAAACCAATCTAAGATTTGAATTATCATTTCTTCAATTCAAAAATCAAAATTTTCATATCCAATTCGAACACCGAAAATCCACCCCTAAATAGAAGTACAAACAAGACAAATATGTAAATTGTAATAGAACCAAGTGTTGATCTTCAACCACTTATTCCCCTTTAGAACAGACAACAGAGCAAAAAATTTACAGATAAAGATTTGTTGGGAGGGACCTCATACCCCATTACCTTCAGTCTACTTATCACCTTCCACCTTAAAACAAATTTCTGTAATAAAAAAGTTGTTATCTTTTGCAAAGACTCAAACTTTAGCTCTCAATACCAAAGACAGACTCACAGAAAGAGCCTAAAATATGGCACAGATTAGCAAAATGACACAGGGGATACAAACCCTTTATCCCAATTCCAAGATTCATAAACCCCAAGTTCCCACATTTCCCCCTTCACTTTCTTTTGGATCTAAAAACCTGAAAAAATCAGCAAAATCTTTGTGGGTTTTGAATAAAGATTCAGTTTTGACAACAAGGTCTTATTCTTCATCTTTTAGGATTTCAGCATCAGTGGCTACTACCCAGAAACCTTCTGAGATTGTGCTGCAACCCATCAAAGAAATATCAGGCACTGTCAAATTGCCTGGCTCTAAATCCCTATCCAATCGTATTCTCCTTCTTGCTGCCCTGTCTGAAGTAAGTAACCAATTATTAGTGCATTTACGCCTTGTTTGGATGGTTGTTACGTATTGTTTCATAATGTATCGTATTGTATTGTATTACATTGTATTGTTTTAATGAATACAACGTTTGGATAAATTGTATCCTTCTCTGTCATTACATAATGTGTCACATCAATAATTTGAATGACAGACCTACAAGAAAAGTAAGCTACAAATATGATAAAGGATTAAATATGATTATTAAATAATAAATAAAGATAAAATGAAAAGAAAATATAAAGGTAACAACGCGGGTTCAAGCCCCACACCATGCAAAGCGAAGCCCGGTATTTAAGTGGAGAAGGGTAGAGGGGCGGGCCCATTATCCACCGAGTTTAGAAGGCTGTGATTGGTCCAAAAGGGCGGGTCACAGACGGATTTCTCAATTATCAAAAAAAAAATATAAAGGTAACAATGCGATCACAATAAATTGGTCTTTACATAAAATGGGACTTTTCGTTGTTATCTAACGATATATTTAAACGATACGATACAATAAACTTTAAGTAATAATTAAAACAAAACATTGTATTTAAACTAACAATACAATATAAATCCAAACAAGGTGTTAGTGGTTGTTGGTTTTGAAGGTGAGCATTGACGAAATTGGTAATGTTGTTGTCATGTGACGTGTTTGAACTATGGAAACAAACTCTTGTAGAAATGCAGGTAAGATTGTCTACAATAAACGATTGTGGTTCGGTCCTTTCTCACACCCCCTCACACAGTGGGAGCTTAGTGCATTGAGCCGCTCTTTAATTGATTGTTTGGTTTACATGTGAGTTATGGTGGGATTATTTATGCAAAGGATTAATAATGAGGGATTGTTATATAGTGATGAATAATGAAGAGATTGTAATATATGGATTAATAACTCTAAAAGGGATTTTTTTGTCTTTATATAGTTTAGTCTTTGCATTGCTAATACAAGTATTTTTGTTCCACCTTTTATCCCGCATAAAGTAATGGGATACTTTAACACTACCAACCAAATGTTGCATAGGTTAAGGGACAAACCAAACACTATATTATCTTATGCGGAATTTTATAATGGGATTAATAATTCCTCTAACATGTTAGATGCAGATGGTGTATTTGTTGGTTATGTATTCAGAGCTATACGTGGTTCCTTTATATCCAAACGACCCCAATGTATTGCATAATGCATGTATATTTCTTATGGTTGCAGTAGTTCACCTTGGTTTCTAAGAAGCTGTTGTTGTGGGTTTATGTTAAGTCTTTCTCCAGCATCCCTTTGTGGTTCTTTCAAAATTATTAAATATCCTTGTCACCAGATTGAAATAGTATTAGGGTGGGTCTGGGCATTGAGTGGTTTATTTGAACAAGAATGGATGTGTATGCAAACAATCTATACCTATACAGCCAATATGTGGTCGAAATAGTATGTTTTGCCTGCTTATTATGAAAAGGGGAAAAAAGAAAGGAATACTTTTCATACTCATGATAGAAGTTTGTCATTGTTTATCATTTAGCACTTAGCTTCATGTGATTTCTTCAACATTGAAGTTTTCTCTTCTTCCCCCCCCCCCCCCCCCCTAGGAGAGTTAGTGGTGTTTTTAGCAACACCTAGTTGAGTTATAAGGTGCTCCTCTTACCAACTAGGATTATATATTCCGAAGCTGAAGGCGGCTTGAACGACTTTTGTAGCATAATAGGTCTGAACCATGATCAACTTTGCGAACACCTTTAAGCAGCGAAAGTTCACACTTCTCATTCTTTTACAGTTCTGCAAAAGATGATTGTCACATTGAAATGTATGTAAATAATCTTTTACTTTATTATGTTTGCTGTATGTATCAACAATCTTTTGTGGCCATTAAATGTGACTTGCATTTGAATTTCAGGGAACAACTGTTGTTGACAATTTGCTAAGTAGTGATGATATTCATTACATGCTTGGTGCCTTGAAAACACTTGGACTGCAAGTAGAAGATGACAGTGGAAACCAACGAGCTGTTGTTGAAGGTTGTGGTGGGTTGTTCCCAGTTGGTAAAGAGTCCAAGGAAGAGATTCAACTTTTCCTTGGAAATGCAGGAACTGCGATGCGGCCACTAACAGCAGCAGTTGCTGTAGCTGGCGGAAATTCAAGGTCTAATAGCATCCCTTCTTAATTCCATTTCACTCCTTTAAGTGGAAGTCAAAACTATTGAAATGTAATTGGCCTAACTAGAGCGAAATGATTAGAGATTATTCAATAAGCCGACCTGACTAGCTTGGTATTGAAGCATAATTGATTGATTGCTGTTAAAGCTATTCTGATATTCTTCAGGTATTGCATTTGTGGTATTTCTGACTAAAATTTTCTCTACATAGATAGCTAAATCTGATTTCCTGGAAGGTATTGTCAGCGACGTGAGGTTTTGAGAGCATGAATAATTAGATATCTACTAGATCTTGAAAAGTTTGTGTGATGCATACAATGGTACATACATTGTCTTAACATCTTTTCCAATGCTTCTTTATGGCGGGCAGTTTTATCGATTAAAAACAATGTTACCATGTTACTAAGTTTATTAGGTCATTCTCTTGTTACAGGTATGTACTTGATGGAGTTCCTCGAATGAGAGAGAGACCAATTAGTGATTTGGTTGATGGTCTTAAGCAGCTTGGTGCAGAGGTTGATTGTTTCCTTGGTACGAAATGTCCTCCCGTTCGAATTGTCAGCAAGGGAGGTCTTCCAGGAGGGAAGGTGAGGATTACAAGTTCTATTCTGCCATATTTATAATTTAAATAAATAATGTCTTAAAACTGTAATATGAACAAGTAACTAGGTTGCAGAAGCGGAGAAGACTTTGCTTACAAAGTTAAAGTAAGCTAAGGCTGGAAGAAATTGGCATAGTCTAACCCTACTTCGAGAATACATTTGAATACATATCCTTGCTTATAGCCTATTGGACCAAGCTTCTGAAATCAACTTATTTTCCTAAGTGTTTTTTCAAAATAGTGCTTTTGGTGAAAAGCAGTTTGTGTTTGGCCAATAAATTTAAAAAACACTTTTGAGCAGCAATTAGTGTTTGGCCAAGTTTTTTAATTTCTCGAAAGTGCTTTTGGGGAAAACTACTTGTCTTAGCTTTTGAAAAACAGTTTCTGCTACTCCCCGAAAGGACTTATTTTCTTCCAAAAGCTTGTCCAAACACCTCATTTTTTTAAAATTAGCACTTTTTGGAAGAAAAAAAAAACACTTTTTGCCTCCCAAAAGCTTGGTCAAAAAGGCTAGGAAGCCAAAATATGCTTCTCATAAATTTGACTACTGTAAATTTCCAGTGCATTAGGCATACCTTTTTTCCTATATGGTTTAAAGTAACTATTCTATTCCTATAGGTTACTATTCAGAATTCAAAATATTTGTAGACAAAGAGATCATTTCCAACTTAGGTTCCAATTGAAAATAAGCTTGGAGGTGAGTCTACATATGAGAATAGAGGGAAGGGGCCAGAGCTCATTTTCCTTGTTGTATGTTTTGGTGCAACTACTGGAGACTTAAGTCTTGCAGCAAATGGTCGTCTCTTCATCTAAGGAAAACTACAGTTTACCTGGTTTTTATCATGGCCGCATCCTTATAAATGAGGCTTCTTAATGCAGGAAGAATCAGTTGTAAAGCCAAGGAAAACCAATAGAGGTCTGTTATTAAAGCAAAGAAATCTTATGTTCTATGATTGAACTCAAAATCCAAACACTAAATTCCTTAACAGTAGTAAGTTGAATGATTACAAAATTGTATGAAGCTCAAAGAAATGTGGCTAGCTGCTTCTATAAGATCCACTGTTCTTGTGAATCAAGAGCTTTTTTGAGGACAAAACGTAATTCTCTTACATTTCTAAATAGCTGTTGTCCTTATCTTATTTATAGTTGTCGGAATATTTTGTCCACTTACTTTGTAGAGGAACTTATTTCTGTCACTCTTCTTAATTATTTCAAGTATTACCCTAATCTATAAAAAGGTACTATAGAGACACATTTTTATATTGAAAAGGGTTCAAATACTTTGAAAGTAACCTCTATCTCCCCTATATACAACTTTAATATAAAATAGTGAAATTTCAACCTTTACAATAAAAGTCACGGTGTAACAAAAGAAAAACACCTAAATTGGACAGGGTGTCAAACACATCCTAAACCAATGATGATTCAAATAATAAAACTTGCCTAAAACAAGGAAGAAGCTAAGCAATAACCCTAATCCTCAAGGACTGGTATGGGCAGGACCAACAATATTACTTAATGAATTGTATATTGCTATTACAGTGTTCTGGAATGGTCTCTTTTGCCTGCCATTCCCTGCATCACATCTTTATGTTTCAGTCCTCTTAAGAAGTCCTAAAACAAAGGGAAAATTTTACCAATTGTTTGAGTTACTTGTTCTGCCAAAGTTTCTCCTATTTAGCTTTTCCTTAGGGACTTGCTGCAGCTACAAAAGAGAAGAACTATTAATTTTGCCTCGAACATGTCCATGAATCCTGATTCTTATGTTGCCCTTGGTTCATTAGTTAGCTTCTTTTAAGAAGATTTTTATTTTTTTTTCTTTTGTGAATGTACCGATGAATCCTCTATTGGAAACCACCTCTCTACCCCACAAAAGCAGGGGTAAGGTCTGCGTACACCCCACTTGTGGGATCACATTGGGTATGTTGTTGTTGATACGATGAATCTTGATTCTTATGTTATCTGTGGTTCAATACTTACTTGTCAGTTTCTTTCTTTTTTGTTTCCGTAGCATAGAATACCCTTATAATGCAGAAGTTTGTGCTTTAGCTATTCTTTCTTGACTATCTTTTAGGTGAAGCTGTCTGGATCCATTAGCAGCCAATACTTGACTGCTCTGCTTATGGCTGCTCCACTGGCTTTAGGAGATGTGGAGATTGAAATCATTGACAAACTAATATCTGTACCTTATGTCGAAATGACATTGAAGTTGATGAAGCGATTTGGTATATCTGTGGAGCACAATAGTAGCTGGGACAGGTTTTCTGTCCAAGGAGGTCAGAAATACAAGTAAGTTTGTTTTTGGTCATTCTAATGGCTTGTAAAGTTATCACCAAAAACAGCTGACGTAAAGATTGATGAAATATTAGGTCTCCTGGAAAAGCTTATGTGGAAGGTGATGCTTCAAGTGCTAGTTACTTCTTGGCTGGTGCAGCTGTCACAGGTGGAACCATCACTGTTGAAGGTTGTGGGAACAGCAGTTTACAGGTATTTCTCATGCCATTTTGAACCAGGGGAGGGGGTTGGCATGCTGAACTTCTCTTTGATCTTTCCGTGTTGACTTTGTGGTAGCATGCTTATGTATACTCACATCTTGTCCATCAACAAGTTTGGGTTTTGTTAGTCCTTAATGAATATTATGTGTATGATACATTCTTTACACTTTACAGTAGCACACAAATCGAGGACCGCATTGAGATGACTTTCAATGTTATAGCTGAAATATCTTATTTGTGTCTTTATGTTTGCCTTCATGAAGGGGGATGTCAAATTTGCTGAGGTTCTTGAGAAAATGGGAGCAGAAGTTACGTGGACAGAAAATAGCGTCACAGTCAAAGGACCTCCAAGGAATTCTCCTGGAAGGAAGCATTTGCGTGCCATTGATGTGAACATGAATAAAATGCCTGATGTCGCCATGACACTTGCTGTAGTTGCACTTTTTGCTGATGGTCCCACTGCTATAAGAGACGGTATGGCTAGCTTTGCTTTCTGACAATCAGATCGAATTTGAAGTTTTCTTTTTATTTATTCATATTTAATTAGCTGAGTGGGATCAGATGCACTATGCTGCTATATCCAAAGTCTTACGATAATTAAGTACAAAATATAAGCTGGAAATATCCACCAAGTTTCAGGCCGTGCCTTGGGAGTTTCTCGTTTATAGAAAAGAGTACACTGGAAATAAAACATAACTAGTTTATAGCAAAGTGGTTTTAGAAATATGTATCTTCTGAGGCTGGGTTAGGTATTGCAAGAAGAAAGAAGTGAACTCATCCATCTTTGGTATGTTTTTTGTAATTAGTCTATCAAATTAGGATGGGCTCACCCTCTTCTTTTTTTTTTATAAAGTTGAAGTTGTATTCTTCAGCATTAAGGGTATGCTGGCTACCTCCAAAAAGTTACAAGCTAAATCCATAATTACATAGATCCTAGGAAATCTACCAACTGTTCTACTTCTTCTATACCATCTTCTTTATACCAAAAAAACAACATGTTAATATGGAAACCTCAGACGTAAGTTCAATATAAATTAGTTGATGACCTGTTACGTATGCATGAGATTTGATTGCACATGCATCAAGGTATAGATCTGGACTCTAGAAATTGTGTTTTTTCTGTGACAGTGAAATTTAAGAAACCTCCACAAAATGGAGAAGTTTCTGATGTTTTCTCTCCAAGTGTGTAGTTTACGTGTTCAGCAAGCTTTAAATAAGGCTCGACATATATATGTCGCTGAAGTCTGATTGTCTTTATATTGCAAATAGGTATGTGTACATTATTCTTTTGTTAAATGTACATGATCCTAAAACAAGTTCAATTGTTCACATCTATGAAGAGCTTACGCGGATAAAGATCTATATTATAGTTTTGCTGGCTAAGTTCATAAAGCAATGGCTTAAATATTAACCTTAAGCAGCATTTTTATTTGAGCAGACCATAATGTTCTCAGGGCGTTTCCTTTCTCTTTTTTCTGTTCTTCCATCTTTCTTTATTGTGCTCTCTTCTCTCTTATCAGTTGCTAGTTGGAGAGTCAAGGAAACTGAACGCATGATCGCCATATGCACAGAACTTAGGAAGGTAAACTTGTAGAAATTATCCTCGACTTCCTTCCATTTTCGTTCTTTTTTTCCCCTACTCTTACCTTTTTGCATGAAAATTGTAGTTGGGAGCAACTGTTGAAGAAGGACCTGACTACTGCATAATCACCCCACCGGAGAAATTAAATGTGACCGAAATTGATACTTACGACGATCACAGGATGGCCATGGCCTTTTCTCTTGCTGCTTGTGCAGATGTTCCAGTCACCATCAATGACCCTGGCTGTACGCGGAAAACCTTCCCAAACTACTTTGATGTCCTTCAGCAGTACTCCAAGCATTGAAGCCACTTCAATATGTTGTAGAGTGTAAGTAAAAACATGTGAAAGAATTTAGTTCTTGTACAACAAGACAGGCTATAGCTGGTATCTGAACACAATGACTTTAACTTGTTTAATTATTTGCCATGTGATGATGTTCAGTGTATTTGTTGAAGTTGAGCTGTTTTTTTTTTGTCTTGGAAGGAATGTATACTATAATAGAGTTAACAATTTTCCTTGTATGAGCAAATGTAAGGAGTACTAGTTCTATTATCTAATTTTATTGATTGAATTTTGTGAATGATCTGGTTAAGTCACTGGTTTATTTTGTTATTCTGATAGTAGTTATGGCCTCAATTGTTGTGTCTAAATGAAAATTTTTGACATTTTTTTGAAGGGTATGGAGTACACGGAGTATAGAAGGTTAGTAGGTAACAATATTGTCTTATCATCCGTTCGTATTTGTAGTTTCTTGTTCATTGCTTAAAAAGTAGGATCTTTTGCCTTGCTTACAAGTTTGTTTCTCCTTTAATACCTAAAACTAAAATGTGACCCTCACATGACTGTGTCTCCTTTTAGGGCTTTAGTATTAACTCAACACCACAAACTTCAAGTTTCTTGCCTAAATACAGAACAAAGGCATGTTGAGATATAGGGGTGTACAAAATTAAACCGAAAATTGAATCAAACCTCAAATCGAGAAAAAAACCCGACTAGTGGTTGGTTTGACTTGGTTTGGTATTGGAAAAAAACTCCGACTATATTTGGGTTGGTTTGGTTTTAACTAAAAAAAAACAACCCGAGACCAAACCAATCCGACATTATATATATAATTTTAAAATTTTATTTTATACATAAAATATTTACTTTGATATAATTTTTAAATATTTCTTATACTTTTTCATAGTTTTTATCTTTTAATATATTATTATTTCAAGTTTGACACTTAGAAGTCTAAATGGTTCAATAAAGATTATAGTCCACAAATATTGGTAATTATAATAAAGCTTAAATCAAAATTAAATTAATACTAAAGCAAAAAAAAAAAAAATCAATTCAACACTAAAAATGACAATAATATTGAATATTTGTTCTAAGGTTTTACATTGTTTTATTCAAATACATAATCTAATTTTAATTTCCTTTAATATTTAGTCATGTAACTAATACTTATTAAACTTATTTTAGCATGATTTAGTACTTTTAAATTATGATCATTTTCATTATGACTTGTTAATTTGCAATATTTGTTTTACGCGATTTCATTATTATTATATTTTGTTGGATATTTTAGTATCATTACTCATATAATATTGTGTTATTTTCTTAAGAAACATTTTAGATAGTTGTATTTTGGTAGGACTAAAGAAATATTTGAAGTACAAGTAAATTATATGTTTGTATGAATACTTTTCCGGAAAAAACCCGAAAATCCGAAAAACCCGAAAAAATCTGAAGTTGAAAAACCCGAATTTTATTGGTTTGGTTTATAGATTTAAAAATCCGACACAAATGGTTTGGTTTGATATTTGAAAAACCCGAACCAACCCGGTCATGTACACCCCTATAATGAGATATATCTAACCTCTATCCATTTTTATTTGTTCATTATATTAAAAAATAATTATTTTTATTTGTTCAATTTAAAATTTCAAGAGATAATTTGTTCTTTTATACCTATTTCATTCTTATTATTCAGAGGTTGAGCCAAAATTTAATGTTTGTGGGTTCGTGAATAGAGTAGAACCTTTTTTTGTTACAACATATTAATTAAGTAAAAAATATAATGCTTGGACAGACGGAGATCAACGAGCCCATCTACCTTTCTTTGCTTGTGGGTTCACAGACAACGATTATACACTGTTGCATTTGATATTTTAGTATGAATATAAGGTTTACGCAAAATCTACTAGGTTTGTCCGAATTCCGTATAATACAGTAGCTTCGTCCCTCTTATTATTACGTACTAGATATTTCAAATTTATATTCCAATGAGTGAGATGGCTTAATATGACTAATTAATATTCACATAGTAAAATTGTCACTTTATTCATTATGTGTCAGGTTAAATATAAACAAGTAAAGATAGATGGAGGGAGTAACTTTCATCTCCTTTTGTATGCTTTATCTTGTTTCTCCAATTTAAAGTTGCGTAGGTAACTTCTATTCATTCGTAAGGTCATATAAAAGGCAAAAAGAATTCTCCTTGGTTGAATGTTTTCATTTTTTTTAATTGCTTTTTGAGGATGTATTTTAGTTAACTTTTTGTCGATGAGTTGTTTCTGTTTAAAAAGCATCATAACTCTTTCACCCACTATACAAATTTTATACAGAAATAGGGGACAAACGTACAACGTCGTTTCCAGAGACCCAATTATAAAAGTACGTATTTGAGTATATTAATGTTCTGGAAGTCTTTCTTCCATATACTTTCTTTAAGTCCTCCAATCTCACGATATCATTGATATTGTATCCTATCGTGGATTACCATATACCTTGTAGGTAGCCTTCAAAAATATCCACATTATCAACCTCACAATGAATATCACTATGGTCTTAAACAAGTACCAAGACAATACAGTGTTAAATTATATAAAATTATTAGCGAAGACAAATTTGAACTATTTCATATAATTCAGAGGTAAATATTTCTGTATCTTTTCCCTTAAAAGCTTATAGCTATGATTCGAAGTACAAAGTAAGAAGTAAATTATTTTTTAACTAAATCTCATAAATGGAAAGAGGAAAACCATAGTGTTAACATATTTGGAGCACAAATTTTGGAATATTTTTCCATTACGGCACTTATATTTCTCAACCCTTCGTGCAATATTAGAATACAAATGATTTTGAGTTAGATAAAGAATAAGTGAATATCATGATTTGTACTTGTTTGATTTATTTGAACTTTACAAGACATAATCTTGTATAAAAATGGAATTATGAGAAAAAAGAACTCATTTTTAAAGCTATATATTTGCAAGAAGTTCATACTATATAGTAATATTCTAGCATTTGAGATTTGCCATAAATATTAAGTATAAGAATTTATCTATGATCTTCCTTTCTAATGGTAATCAAGCTACTTTTCATTTCCTTTTAATTCAAGAAAAGATACGTACTAAAAAACAAAGCAAAATGGAAGTTTTATGTTCATAATACTCCGAAAAGCAGGGATGTCAAAAGAATATGAAAAATCCATCAAATCTAACCGTATCGAATCGATTTATATAATTTTTTCAATAAATTCATGAATTGCGAATAATTGGAATGATCTTTTTATCATCGTATTTGACCTAACACACCTCTTAAAAAGTAAACGATAATCTTATTATACCATCATTAATTATTATATAAACTAACTAAATAAATAAAATAAATATTTTAGTAAAAGTGGATGGAGAGAATATGAAAAAATTGAAATTAGTGAGGAATGTAGATATTCAAACTTATCAAATCCCTATAAATCTATCTCACCAACCAATAAGGTGTTAATTAGGAGCCCCTCGTAATTAGCCCCTAAATGTCGTCCACTTCATCTCCAACAAACCATCCTTATTTCACTAAAAACCTTAATCTCCTTTTTCCCAAAATCAATAAACTCCTCCATATTTAAAGTAAAAACAATTTTTCTTTCATCTAAATAAACACCTCTAAATTATCCATTTTCCCAAAATTCAAGAAACTCTCCTCATATTTAAAGTAACCAAATCTCTATGTAAATAAAGACCTCAAAATTAATCCTTTAATTTTCCAAAATAAGTAAACAATTTAGGTAAATTAAAGGCCTCAAAATTAATCCTTTTTTTTCAAAATCAAGAAACTCCATACATATTTAAATGCCTCACATTTAAGGTTTTATTTTTTTTTTAATCCTCCACCAAACAAATACAATAATCTCCCTCCTCCCATCTCCCCCAACTCTTTCTCCTCCAAGAACCTCAATAATGGTAAAAAAAATAAAATTAATCTTTCATTTACAAACATCTCTAATCAAAGTTTAAACTAATCCATTTTCATTAATTTTACATTTTTTGTTTGACTTTGTTCTTGAATCTTGATCTCCCCCTACCCACCTAATAGTCCACTCCAAATCTTTCATTATTCCATTTTTAAATTCTTCAAACCTCATTCTTCTCCCTCCCTAATTAGTCCACCCACTTCTTAATCTCTTTCTCTAATCATCCATTTTCTTGATAAAAATCCAATCTTTACTTCATTTCAAGAAACCCCACAAAGTAATCTTGAACAATAACCAATCCTTTCAAGAAATCAAGAAGATTCTTATTCTTATAGATAAAGTGCTAAAATTTCCCATACCCCTTTTTCTTGTTTTCCTTATCCCCATTTACATTATCAAGAATCAATCTTTCTTTCATTGGGGGCAAAAATATAGAAAAAAAAAAAGGAAAATTTCTCAAACCCTAACCCTGAGTTTTGTTTTTAATCAAGAAAAATCAGAGGAAAAAGATTTGGATTCTTGATTTGGGTATTGTTTAACTTTCAAGATTTGGTTAGAATAATGTCACAAATGAAGCACATTGATAATACTCCATCAACCCCAGGAAAATTCAAGATTGAAAAATCACCTTATAATAGGCTTAGGCTACAATTTTCTTTAGCCAAGATCATTTTTTGGTCACTTGTTTTTGTGGGGTTAATCTTTGTATTCTTTTACAGATCACCATCATCTTCCTCTCATGTTTCTTCAGATCTCTTCAGGAGATCTCTTAGAACAAGCTCTTATGGTGGTCCAGCTTGGGAGAAAAAGATTAAGGCTTCAGCAAAACCAAGGTCAAGTAATGGTATGTGTGTGTTGGTAACTGGGGCAGCTGGTTTTGTAGGAACACATGTATCAGCTGCCTTAAAACGCCGCGGAAATGGCGTGTTGGGGTTGGATAATTTCAATGATTATTATGATCCTTCGCTCAAAAGAGCGAGGCAAGAGCTATTAGAGCGCTCTGGGGTGTACATTGTTGAGGCTGACATCAATGATGCCACCCTCTTGAAGAAACTTTTTGAAATTGTTGCATTTACTCATGTTATGCATTTGGCTGCACAAGCTGGTGTGCGATATGCTATGGAAAATCCTAGCTCATATGTGCATAGTAACATTGCTGGACTTGTTACTATGCTTGAGGTTTGCAAAAGTGTTAATCCTCAACCTTCTATTGTGTGGGCATCGTCTAGTTCTGTATATGGATTGAATACTAAGGTACCTTTTTCAGAGAGGGATAGGACAGACCAACCTGCTAGTTTATATGCTGCTACTAAGAAGGCTGGTGAGGAGATTGCTCATACCTATAATCATATATATGGGCTTTCGATAACTGGATTGAGGTTTTTCACGGTTTATGGACCGTGGGGGCGGCCAGATATGGCTTACTTCTTTTTCACAAGGGATATTTTGAAGGGAAAGTCAATTCCAATCTTTGAGGCAGCTAATCATGGCACAGTCGCGAGGGATTTTACCTACATTGATGACATAGTGAAGGGTTGTTTGGGGGCATTGGACACGGCTAAGAAGAGCACCGGAAGTGGTGGGAAGAAGAAAGGTCCTGCTCAATTGAGGGTGTTCAATTTGGGCAACACTTCTCCTGTCCCAGTATTTGATCTTGTCAGCATTTTGGAGAAGTTGTTAAAGGTAAAGGCTAAGAGATTGATTATGAAGTTGCCAAGGAATGGAGATGTGCAGTTTACTCACGCAAATATAAGTTTGGCCCAGAAGGAGTTTGGATATAAGCCTACCACAGATCTACAGACAGGATTAAAGAAATTTGTTCGATGGTACCTAAGCTACTATGGTAATGGAAAGAAAAGCGTGCAGTGATACATTTCGATTCAATCGAGTGGTAGGACAATTAATTCTTTTCACTTTGATTCTTATGATTATTTTCATGTATCTCCAGCTTGTTGCCCCCTTGTGTTTTTTTCCCCTCCATATCTTAATGATACCATATATAAAGGACACATCCAATCCCACGACGAAGAATTTGTGGTGGATGGACAGTGTTTGCTGGGCAAGTTGTTATGTATCAGATGCAAACTGAAGCCATTTTTTTTTTCTTTTCCACTTTTGAAGTGTAATTGTTGTAGTTTTATAATTGTAGAATTCATGACAGATAGAGCTGCTGCTGATTGATGGACAGTGATCATGTATCATCTTTATCAGATTCTAATAAACGTAGCAAGATAGTTCTATATTTGGTTCACTCTGTATATCTTTTTAAATTGAATATTTCCTTGTTAATCAAGATGATATTGTGCTCTAGGTTGATGATTTTGGTTGATCCTGTTATGTGTTTTTATGTTGCCACAACTTTCTGATATTTCTTCTCTGTGATCATTCCTCGTACATAGTTGCTGAAGTTAGATCCTGCTATTTCTAAATATAAGATTATGCATCTCATGTTATACTATTAAAAGTTGATTATTTAGGGTCATTGTAATAATACTCATAAAAAAAATTAGGGTCACCGTAATAGATTGGTGCAGTTCTTTCCTTTCTCTAGTTTTTCTGGAACTTTTGTTTCGTGGAGAAGAAAAAAAAGTGGGGGTGCGGGTATAAGGATTCATTTGAAGCTGCAATGTTATATATGGCAAAAGATGCGGGACTATAGAGCATACTAATCTCAAGATGCACAAAGTAAGCAAATAGTTACTTCTTGTACCAGAAGAGAGAAGTGATTACTAATATCTTCAGGTTGCTAAGACGTTAGAAAAAGGTTAAAGCCTCGGTCCTGCAACTCTAGGTTCTCTGTTTCCCTTTTTCATTTAATTATTGCAGCACCCTACTGTTCACCCGGCGAAGTAGTTAGATAGAAGAATCATGGAGACAATTTGCTTTTCATCCTCACTGCCTTTCAAGTTTAATATCAGAAAGCTAGTGTTTGTATAAGTACTTCTTTGACTTGTTACAATCCTTAACATGAGATGTAAAATCTTCGATACATGTGATAACCCATAAAAATGTTGCATCTTTTGATAAGATCTCGTCTTTCTGGAGTTTAGCCTTCACCATCTTGTTAACGCTACTTTCCTACAAAAGCATGTTGCTGGATCATACAAACTTTCGCACCTTTCACTTCTTGGAAGGTTAAAATGTTTGGAACCTTTGTTTTTCTCCTCTTCCCTTCTGAACACAGTGATGTCCGGGGAAAGGGAGAAGTAGCAGCAGGGTGTGGATTAAATGAAAATTGTGACTTCTGAATTCATGGGTTTCTGTCATCTTAGTTACTGCTTTTGTCCATGGCTGTTCAATTATGATTTGTTAGAAAGACGTTAAACTCGAACTGTATCTAGATATTATAATTTTGCCTCTGAAACTAGTGCATTATGATTTGGAAAATGTGAAATGTTGCATGCTTGCTGGGAATGATCCTGGAAACTGTTGGAGAAATAATTCAAATAAAACGCAATCTTCTTGGTGAAAAACTGGATTTAGTGCATTTTTAAATAACTTTTCATGTTTGATTCTAGAAACACTTGCATATTCTTAAAGATATCTGATGCTGTTGAACACAAAAATAATGAAGGAACTCGTCTTACGAGTGTGTATATCGCTGTCTGTGTTTGCTAGTTTTTCCTCAGACATTTGGGAGTTGCTCATAGCAGTTTGGATTTTGTGTCATGGGGACTTTTGAGTTTGAGTAAGTTATTAGTACATGGATGGTTGCTATGTTTTGGATGAAGTGCTGCCAATTTGCTAGCTGATATAAGATATTGACAAAATTCTTGCACTTTTGAGTTAAGAGTGAAATTATTTAACACATGGATGGTTGCCAATTGATATTAGGCATTAGCTAAAGATTTTGGGCAAAGTGCTGCCAATTGCTAGCTGATAGCAGTTGTGACAAAATGCTTGCAGTGTTGTCAACTTGGTGCAATTAACCATGTGTTATCTCTTTGCCATATCAAACACCTGAAAGTTGGAGTTATATAGTTACAATTCCTCATCTTAGGGTCCGTTTAGACATGTGATATGGAATCAGATAAATTTGAAGTTGGAGTTTTGTTTGAATATGCAATTAGGATTTTTTTTAAGTTGTATTTTTCTCATAAATATGAAAATCCCACAAATTATGAAAACTCATAAAAAAATTCCCAATTCATATACAATATTATCAAATAAGCAAACCATAATTCATAAACAAAATATTAGAATATCCAAAGACTCTGCATTGAAAAATCATACATTTCTATGTTCCTTTTATTAATATTTAATAGATGTTTGCAATTACAAACATCAGATATGCATAATTTTATAATAATCAACTAGTCAACAATAACAGTAAAGTGTTCTTCTTTATTATAATTGGTACGGACAATCTCTCAACACCAAGCATTGCTTGAGTCCTTTATTTTTTTTCAAAATATAAACTTATTGAGTAAAGTTTTACATTTGAAATCCCTAAACCATGTTTTTTTGTTTGGAGTATCTGTGATTTAAAATCATAAATCTCAAATTGCTCGTCCAGGCACTAATTTAAAACCATGATATCATATAGCAAACCCAAACACAAGGTTAGCCAGCCCGTCCTGGAGTTGCTTAGTATCTACATTGCTTTACTAGCTTACTATCTACATTCTTTGGCTATATAATTGGCATTAATAGCTGGTCTACATAGCTTGTTATGGCAGCTATCTTTTCTTACAAAGTACCGTTTCCTGCAATTTTTTATAAACACTGTTTGCCAGCACCAATAAAAAGTAAAATACAAACAAGAGTTAAACGGTTTAATTGTTTCCATGATACAGCATCAACATAGAGCAGACTATATCTCTAGACCCAATATAGATATGGAGTAAGGTAATTCATCATTAACTAACCCAGCAGACATTCGCAACAATTTTAAAGCTTTGGTAAGATCAACTATTAAGCATAAGCAGCCAAGATTTGAATATATCACAACATCTAAAGAAAGAAAAGGGAATCAAATACCAACTCAAAAAAGAACTAAATCATCACCAATATCTTAACAGTTTTTTTTCTCAATTAAGCATCCTGGCAGTTCCGACTTAATATTGAACTTTGGAGGCAAAATTTGACCGCAAAAGCAGAGTCTTCTCTATGCCACGAGAGTACTGGCGGTGGTAGATTCACTGCAAAGAACAAAAGAAGAAGACATTAGTAACGCATATCCCCAAAAAAGGAACGGAAAAGGGGGGAGAGCAAGCCGCTAGTTGATCTTATATCATCCAAGGCACCAATGAATCATTGAAGCTGACTTCACATAAATCAATTGGAGCTACTAGAGTGATGAAAGTAAGCTGGCTATATGTTTGCTTTGTGCAGGAGACAAAGGTAATTTCATATTTGCTATAAAGAGTCCCTTTTCTTTTGTAAGGGCAGAGCAAGACTCGTTTTTATAACTGCAAATTGAAATCATCTAAAGCTTTGTGCAAATAATGCCATCAAAACGCAGCAGAGAATTCATTGCAAACGCAAAAGCTGCTCAGTAATGAGAAAGTGCAGAGGCAGATCTGGAGGGTCAATTATAACAAGGTTTGTCTTACTAAACATGAAGACTATGATTCTTTCAGTTTTACTAAACCTATACTATGAACCACATAAACCTTAAAAAGTCAGAAACAGCACATTGATGTGGGTGGCAAGCAAGAAACATCAAAAATGCAGAAAACCGAGAAATACCCAAGAGCTAGTGGCCTAACATTGAAAACTCAGTAGATAATGGGCCTGCCCTTCTATCTTTTTCAGACCCTTCCAATTAAATTAAATAAAGCATGGAGTACAGAAGTGGAGAACTCCGCAGGCTTATTTTATCAGACACAGAACTCAAAATATAACAGATACACAATCTGGCAGGAACCAAACTCACAGGAATTATATTATGATGATTTAAGCATGTAAAAGCTGAAATGTAATGGATACAGCAGCTTGTGTGAACTAAGAATTCACCAGGGGAGCAAGAGTATTCAATTTTTTCATAAAACAACAGTCACCAGCTAGAAAGTAATCCAAAACTAAATTCAAAAACAACCAAGCATATTCCACATTGACATGCATTGAACACGTTATGATGCAAAAAAAAGATTAGACTGGTTTAGTATGGTGACTCAGAAGCACAAAACTAAAGCATGTATATGAGATTGCACTTACTACTTCCAGACTGGGGGAAGCTTCTTGGTTTTCTTATAGTAACGAGCAAGTCGGTGAATCCTGCTCTCAACAAGAATCAACCTAAACTTGGAATCTTTGTCTTTCCTGTTTCTCTCAAGATGCTTCCGGATTGCAACGGCCTTCTTGATAAGGTGATAGAGATCCTCCGGAATCTCAGGAGCAAGTCCTAGAATAAAGAAAACAATAGGTTAGTCAATCACTTCCGTTAGATAAGTATTTTGAGTATCAACTAATCACTCAACATGCCAAATGAGTACCGTGAGCCTTCAAAATTCTGAGAATCTTGCTACCAGTTACACTCTTCACCTGAGCAATCCCATGAGAATCACGAAGTATAACACCAATTTGAGAAGGTGTCAAACCCTTCTTGGCAAACTTGCATATATTATCCTCAACCTGAAACACAAGAAAGTGCAATTTTTTTATTGTTAAAGTAAGTGCATCTATTATTCTTTTAGAATAACAATAAGAAAGGGGAACTCAATGTCAAAAAATGATCAGTTGTGCCATTAATAGTTATCATATTATTTATTGGTATCAGCTTGATACTTCTCTGTTTCTCGTTAAGACGAACTCCAACAAGTTCTATCACAAGTCACAAGGATTGAATCAAAATGCTCAAACAGGATCGGAGAAAATTTTCACCTAATTTACCAATAGAGACTTTTTCTGTTCTTACATACGCAGTGTAGAAGCAGCACCAGCCTATACATCCATTATTTGTCGGGAATATAGCTCAAAGAGGCAAAGGGAAAAAACCGAACTTGCTTTTGCATGGTTAGGCACTCATGCTACAGAATATACACAATTTGCAAGAAACCTCTTATACCTTCATTTCCCTTGATATTAAAATATTTAATTTAGTGATTGGATAAGCTAGCAGGTGGAGTTTTCTAGTAGTGGGCAGTAAACGAGAAGAAAGGTAATCAAAGTTGAAATGGGTAAGTATATAAGATAAATGGCGGTGAACACCCTCAAGGTAGATCTTTGATACCAAGCTTTCAGCTACTCAATAAAGTCAGATAACTGGAATTAGCTGCGGCACTTCAAATGGAAATTTTCCAAGGCTGCAGACTGATTTCTAGGTCCTTAAAAAAAGTCGAAACCTTAAGAACTGGACATGAAACAGTACACATATTCTATTGCAACCACTTAGTAATATATACATACTATTTCACAATACTTACAGAATGAAAGAAAAACAGTGTAGACAAGACACTTGACTCAGACATAGTAGAAAATTAAGCTGGTGTATTTCTGAAACTAACGAGGAACGATAAAAAATGAGAAAAGTTAAAACAAAGAGAAGATTTTTTATACTGAAAACAAAGAGAAGATCAAACGTGAAGTGCTGAGACATGAACCATGTTCACCGCTAACAAAAAATGCACATTTCACAAATACTACTTATCCATAGAATTAAACAATGCATAATAAGGATTTATAAACCTCGACAGTATATTTCCCATTTCATCCCAGATAACACAATTGAGCAAAATAAGTTTAAAACAGATTCAATCAAAGATTTCAGAAGCTAGCAATTGCTTACATCGGGAGCAGATGTTTTCAACCAACTCGGTGGAGTCCTCTTATACGGAAGTGCTGAAGCTGAAATACCCTTACTGTGAACCACACAGAGAAATTAACATACAAAATCAGTCAGTATAATGTGAAGTGAAATAATGAAACAAATTGAATACAATAAGGGAGAAGAAAGATTGAACGGACCCTCGACTGTGCATACGACCCATGGTGGCTGACGGCTGTGCTCCGATGTGCGGCGGCTACAGCAACGAAACCCTAAAATTGTTATTTGCGGGTAATTAGGGGTTTTATATACTACTCTTTTTTTTTCCTCAAAGCAATTTACGGTAATATCCCTTCATTAGATCACTATTTAAATTTTATCCTAATTTTAAAATTGTGTAGAAATAAATTACTATAATCTTTGAAAAATTATTTATCTCAACAATATTAGCTTGAGTCTAATAATTCCTCATATATTATTGAGTCTTAATGATAAAAATTAAATTATTACCTATAAACTGTAATTTGTTCGAAAGAAATTATAAAATCGCAATATAAATAATACTATATAAATTGTCATAAGAATAAAAACACGAAGAAGTATTTATTAACTATTGAATATGTCCACTCTACTTCCCAACCGCATAATGCGAGCTCCTCTATTCCCATCAACATCAAATGGTTTCCCCTCCTAACGGGACATTCAAATTAAATACGGATGACTCTTTTTTAAGTACCACTGAGGGAGGAGGAATTGGCGGAGTGATTCGGGATCACAAGGGTTATTGGATAGTAGGTTTTAGTAAGCATACTTTCGGGCATAATGATGTTATGGTGGAAATGGAGGCCCTATTAGAGGGCCTGAATTTAGCCGTAAATCTCAACCTAAATCCCATTGAAATTGAAATCGATTTCGCTGAAATTCTGCAAGACTTAAATCATGCTCACCCTATTTATGCTACAATGGTTAATGATTGTTGGTTGCTTATGAAGAGGTTGAGGAATCTAGTGATCCACCATAATTTTCGTCAAGCCAACAAAGTAGCCGACTTTTTGTCTAAGATGGGTGCCAAGCTAACGCCGTCCATACAAGATGCTAATATATCAACTCCTCCAGGCTCGGCTGTAGCTATAGTGCAGGCAGATAAAGCAGGAGTCTCTATTACTAAACTAATTTCTAGAACTACTTGTAATAAGTTAGCCTGTTTTGGTAACCTATCTGTAATCACTATTACTTGTGATAATGTAACCACTTAATTATATTATATAAAATATCTTTTTTATCCAAAAAAAATAATAATAATCAATTGTTAAAAAGAAAAAAAGAAAATCAATGAAGGTTACTCATTCATCTAAGTAGGTGTTTGGCCAAAGATTCCAAATATATTGAATTTGATATACTCTTTACCTTTGTGATTTAAAATTGGTTAACACTCATTATAAAAATGACTCTCATATACCCTCTAATAGGGGTGCATATCAGCCGGTTCGATTTTACATATTATCGATTTGATTTATTGATTTTTGATTTATGGACATACAAAATCGATATCCAAATCAATAAGATACTTATTATCGATTTTTTATTCTTAAAAATTTGAATTTGTTTAACCGATCAGAAAATGTTCAAATGTTTATATGTACATGGTGTTCATAAAGTGAAAATTGTAGCAAGAATAGAAATGCAACACAAATTTCTACATTTGTGACTGTTGTTTAAGACTAAATTGTTCGAATTCCTTCTTAAAACTCATGTAAAAAATTATAGAAATGACATTCATTAGTTATCTTTGTCACAAAACACAAAATTCCTTCTTAAAACTCATGTAAAAAATTATAGAAATGACATTAATTAGTTATCTTTGTCACAAATCACAATCAAATTAAAACTGAGATGAGAGAAAATAATACTAATTTGCATCAAGAAAAGACAAGATATCTCGATAGAAAGGTAGAGAGGCTATTACAATAAATAGTGTAAAAATGTATATTTTTTTTTGTAAGTAAGGTTTTATTTACCTAGTGAGAAATATATCCTCAGAAAAAATGCAGTTTGGATAACCATTCACGACTTATTTTAGTACATAAATATAAAAAAAATGTATATTGATATTGTATAAATACTGTATCAATATTATATATATATATATATATATATATATATATATATATTATAGAAAATATATTGTTTTTTCTGAAATAATTTATAACCATACATCGAATTATGTAAAACAAAATTGAGTTTTGTTGATAATATCGCCCAAAAATTAAATTCCAATTAGCTATGAAATCATGTCACTCAACCAACACATGCAAATTCACATTCTCACACGTAATCAACATGCAACTAGACTCCAATCTCTTTTTTGTCTATATTTAATAAAAATTTACACTCCACACTACTAATTTGCTCTTCATCTTCTTCTATTCTTCTTCAAAATTAAAAAAGTTCTTTTTTAAAAAAAAAAAAAATTAAAAAAAACATCTCCATAAGTTTTATAAGATGTCTCAAAATAATTAAATTTGCCCAAGAGTTATGTAGCGTAATTATCCCTTTTATAAAGTCACTAAAATGACTAGTGCTAAAAAAGACAAAAGGCAAATATTTATATATCTTTTTATGGCTGTTTCCAATAATTGATAAAATTGATTTGCTCTGCTCTTGAACGTCGGTGCTTGTCCATCCCACATTTCCAGGTTTTCTAACATCCCCTTTTTTTTCCGTTTCAATTTATATAATGTAGTTTGATTTGACATATAATTTTAAAAATAAATAATTTTGAAATTTGTGGACTAAAGTAAGCCGTGAATGGTTATCTGAATGGATGTTTAAAAGTTAAATTTTTACTAAATATAAAAAATGTATTATTTTTTGGAAGGGACTAACAGGAAAAATGAGTCAATTGGAATAGAGGGAATATATATTTTGCTTGTAATTTTATCGTCAATAATAGACATGCATCTTTTTTCTCTTTGGTGGTTGTTTTGATAAATGTAGTGGAGTATAGTATCGGGATAGCTTGCGTGCACTTTATATTAGGAAATTCACTATATATTACTCTTTTTGTTTCAATTTATTTACGTGGTTTTGACTTGACAAAGTTTAAAAAGTATAAAATATTTTTGATTCTTTTGGTCTTAAAGCCAAAAATATGTAAAATGTGGGTTTAAACATGTCAGGTAGAAATTTGAAATTAAAGCGTTCTTGAAAAAAGAAAGACAGGTCATGTGTTCTATAGCAAATTCAAAACTCATTTTGGCTGATCATTCTCTCGGATCAGCTACAAATCATCGCCTTGATAAGCTATCGCCTCACTAGTGCCAAGGGCAGGTTCTTACGCATTACTCACCTATCCGCCACTGGAAATAGTTTCACGGTTGCATTACTTATAGCTTCGTTGTTCATCCGCTTCTTTACTCCCACCATTATGAAAAATGGGTAACTCTGCGTACTAAAAATTAGCTAGATGAGAAGAAATAATCTAGTGTTTTTAACCTGGTTCAGTTCTTCCAGCCTCATTAACCTTATAAAAAAAATATCTAGTTTTTTTTTGTCTCGAGGATTTGGACCGAGGTCTATAACTGTTTCATTATCACTAGGCCATGCCCTTGGGTGGAAGAGCATTTAGTTTTGAGGTTGAAACTTGACCCCTGATACAGAAAAATAGCCCTGTAACTTCGGGAGAAGGGGTGCCTCCTCACGAAGGGGGTTGCAATGACCAGGACCGGACAAACTCTATTAACCAAAAACACAAGTCATAAAATCGTATTGTTTTCTTGATAACTGAAAGATGAATTTGGTTGCTGCAATGCATTCATACAACTGAGCCATGTGAACGAAAAGTTATACTGTAGTTGTATTTCCCTTTCAATATTTTGTGTCAACTAGTTTGGGATTGAACATTGTTGTTTTCAACTAACTTTGATGTTTTCCACTAAATGACGGATTGAGAATTAATGCTTTATTTTTTCCGATAACTTTGAAAAATGTTGCATAGTTTACAAAATTCTGCGAAGTAGCGACCTAAATACAGGAAATTCTACTTAGAGTCAGAGTCAGACCATGCCTTATGATGAAAGGGGAATGAAGGACGGTTCATTTGATGAATAGATAGCTGATAGAGACGAGACTAAGAGGACGGAATAACTGCGAAAGAGAGATGGAAATGGATGACAGCAAAGGTATGGTTTGTGTAACTGGTGGAACAGGATATCTAGCATCATGGTTGATCATGAAGCTTCTTCAACATGGATACTCAGTAAATGCTACTATAAGGTCCACTCAAGGTTAATATTTCCCACTGATTCTATTCATTCTCTTTTAAGGTATATGAATTTGAGAAATCCTTCAGTCACGAGTTAGCTTTTGGAGTTGAGTTAGACCCAAAGAGGCAAAGATTCATTTCTTTACCTGGTATGAAAGTCATGTCCAATATTCCATGTTTGGGTTCTCGGTCCACACTCTAATTTGGGTCTGGGCATTAGAGTGGGTTAGAGTTCCACATTGGTTGGAGAATAGATTGACGGTCTGCTTAAATGAATTTAGGTAATCCTCTTTTCATGAGCTAGTTTTTGGGGTTGAGTTAGACCCGTGTGCCATATCTTTAGAATTCCAATGAGTAGTTTAATCTCTACGTGTTTTACATGAATTGCCTTTCTAGCTGTTAGTCATTTAGTGTGTAATCTCTGAAGAAAAAACTTTGAATGAATTTTTTAGATCACAAAACAGATGTTAGCTACCTCACTAACCTGCCTGAAGCATCCCAAAGGCTACGGATTTTTAATGCTGACATGGACAAACCGGAAAGCTTTAGTGTAGCTATTGAAGGATGTGTTGGAGTATTTCACGTTGCTCATCCAATGAATTACGGGGACCAAGAAATTGAAGAGGAAAAGATAAGAAAAACAGTTGATGGAACATTAGGCATTTTACAGGAATGCCTCAATTCAAAAACAGTAAAACGAGTTGTTTACACTTCCAGCAGAACGGCGGTTGTGTTTAATGATAAAGGTTTAGACACAGTAGACGAGAGTTCGTGGTCTGACATCCATATCATGAAAACCTTAAAGCCTATATCTGCAGCTTCTTATGTGATTAGCAAGACTTTAACCGAAAAGGCTGCTCTTGTGTTTGCTGAGAAGCACGGATTAGATTTGGTAACCGTTATACCTAGTTGGATACATGGTCCCTTCTTGAGTCCTCAGTTCCCAGAGCCATTACGACCAGCCATGGCAATGATTTACGGTATGCCCCTTCTGCTCTTCAATCCCTGTAAGTTAATGTTATACATATGTTTGTTGTTGTATTTACATTTCGCAATACATTTGCTGGAAGCAGTGTCATTGTTTTATTTTCTTCTCTGACATAAGCGCGTATTGTTTGTGTACACAGCTTTCTTCCTCTACAGGCATCATCACACGCTTCTTCATAGATGATTTGATTGCTTTACGTCCTGATCCCTTAAACTTAAAGATTTGGTTCATGTGATCATGTTGTAACATATTCAGAAGGTCTTTTATCAGTTTTCTCTATATCCAACTCTAGTTTGTTGGACTCAGCATTTTCTTTTTCGATCTTGGCATGACGTTTCCAGCTTCTAATTTCATCTAACTCGTTCTTTTCCTTAAGATAGTTATATTCCAAATGTCGTGGTGAACTTGCTCTAAATTAAGCATTTCTTTTTGTTTCGTCTCCTGAATTACGCAGGTAATCAGGAAAACTGCATGAAGTATCCCTCGCTTACCCCATTCGTGCATGTAGATGACGTTGCCAATGCACACATACTCCTTCTAGAGAATAGTAAAGCAAAGGGAAGGTACATTTGCTCTGCTGTTGAAGTTACACCAGATGAGCTATTTAACTTACTCTCAGCTAGGTATCCTGAATATCGAATACCTAACGTTGAGTGAGTTCCCATTAGCTCCTTTTGCTATTTGTTCTTTTGACATTAAAAGGAAAAAAAGAAGGTTATTTAACTTATCATGTATACATGTTTGTAGTTCATTGAGGGAGATTGGAGGGATTAAGCATCCTAAACTTTCATCAAAGAAACTTTTGGACACTGGATTCAAATACAAGTATGGACTTGAAGAAATGTTTGATGGTGCAATTGAATGCTGCAAACAGAAGGGTTTACTCTAGTTTGTACTCTATGGCAGAGAAACCCTTGTCTAATATAATTGACATCCCTTGGGTCTCTTCGTTGAAAAATTATACTTCTTTCGTTTAATTTGTTTGTCACTGTTGAATCTTATGGTCAACTAATTAAATATATGTAACGTACCAAAATGTTCTTTGATAATGTGGTCTAAAACATGTCATGTAGAAAGATGGAGTTAAAGAGTTGCCAAAAGAAGGAAAGATGCATTCTTTTTAATGCGGTCTAAAAAAAGAAGGTAAAATACAAAAATGTGCATTTTAATTTGACTTCAGTTGACATCTATGTCCTTCAACCTCCAATTTTTTGAGTGTGCACAAGTAGACACTTCAACTTGTATAAAATTAAACAAGTAGACACACACTTTCTACGTGGTATATTACACATACGACCCCATGTAGGATGCAAATTGCCACATAGGACGCATGTTCACTAGTTCAATTTTGTACAAGTTTGAGAGTCTACTTGTGCACACCCAAAGTTGAAGGACATATATAGATCCAACTGAAGCCAAGTTAAATGACATATTTAAAACCTAATACTAATATGTAATTAGTAGGGATAGTGTTGTAAAATAGGCATATCAATTATTATTTTCTTAATGGATGTACCAAATCCAAATGTAATATATAAAAGTGACCGGAGGGAGTATACAAATATTTTTAGAATTATTTTTTTCAACTCAGGTATGAGACATAACAAATAAATTACAAAATTCACTCAGTTTTTCTGGAATTTTTTTTTCATGGAAAGCATCAAAATATCGAACACATGGAAATGTTTATCATAAAAATTTAAAAATCAACTAGAGGTTGAATTTCAAATATTTCAAGAATTTGAAAACAATAAAAAAAAATATTTTCACTTTTTCCACTCAAAATTACTCACAAAAAATTAAAAAATAACTCCAATTTATATTCACGGCAGTCACAAAAAATATCTTTTGTTTTCACTTTTAAAATATATTTTTTAAAAATTTTACAAAGACAGAATTGATGAAAATAAGGTGGGAGAAGAAATGGTCAATGTTCTAACAAAAGAGTAAAGTTCGCAACTTCTATTTTGCCGAGCTTGTGTATAGGAAGCACAAAGGCACAAATCTGCCGCCAGAAAAAAAAAGGGCAAAAAAAAAAAAAAAAACGAACAAGAGAAGGAAGAAGAAGAAAGTGCCATGGGCGATCTACTCTCATGGCTATTCTCCTTCTTCCTTCTCGTAGCTGTTCTTGGTACTATCCTATACCAGGTATAACTCTCAATTTTTTAGCTGTTTCCAGAATTTAAGCTTTATTGGTTCAATTTTTTATTGATCTAGTTATGTGTTCATATTTACTATTTTTATTACAAATTTAGTGAAATATTATGCACTAATTTGAACACCCTATTGAAATTACTGGGCTTAGATGTGTCAATTGGGCAAAATATGTCCATAGTGACTAGGATGGATGTGTCATATCCGAAAACTAGTAGTGTGCCCTATCTGGAGGGAACAAATAACTTAATTTTCTCCTGTGAACTATTTGTGTGAATGGATTAGTTCGATCTAAAACTTGAGATAACGGGTGTAAATTGAAAAATGATTCATAAGTAGTTGTTAATGGAGTCGAGATTACCAAATTCTGAGGTGTCTGCATCAATTTATGCCGAATTGCTCCTGTTGGTAATGCCAACATACTGCCTATGGTAGGGCCCATGAGGGGCTGGGTGGCCCGGGTTGAAGTCATGATCGAACATGACGTTTACTTGGTGGATTTAGTTAAGAAATAAAGTTGTGTGTTTGCTATCAGCGGTAGTTTTTGGCATGATGGTAAGCGCTTGATCGGTTGTTCCTAACAGGTACACATATAGTCTCCTGAACCGCATTTTCTAAATGAAACAGCTATACTTGACACTCCAAACCTGCTTCTGCCCCAGCCTTAATTGATCCATATAAGTTCTTTTGAGGTTGTAATAGGGCTTCCTTTTTCGTGGGTTATGGTTTGTCAAGAATTTCTGTTGTTCTGTTATCAAGTATTTTTTATTTATTTTTGTAATGGGTGTTGTGCAATGAAAATTGGGAAAATGAAGAATCGAGGCTTTGTGAAAGGGGAAATGTGAGGGTGGGAATTTCCGTGATGTATTGATATAGCATGAACAAATGAAAGTATAATTTTCTTCGAAAGAAGTATACTAAATGGCTATAATGATAGATTTCAATGTTGTTGAAGGGAGTGAGTAAGCTTGATGATATTGGACTAATCTGCGAAAGACGTAAATTGGTTTGATATTGAAGGAACTAGGCATTAAGACATGAACTGTTTCACATCTATAGTTTTTAGTTCACATTAGCAATAGAACTTTGTCTATGTGAGTTTCGCGTGGAATAGCTGGTCCCAAGCCACAATTAAAGAAGAGGGTTGTAGTAGACTGTCCATCAGCGTGAGAATTATTTAGCTGATTTTTCTTAATTAAACGCAATGGCCCAACCAATTCATATAGCAACTCCAACTGATTTGGAATTGAGGGAATGATTTGCAACGAAGCAAGACTTTGGCTTTATTATATTTTCAAGTATCATGGATCTTTACTTACATAGCTTCCAAAGATCCTTTGAAGTGATTTCTGTTAATTCACTAGGATGAACCAATTTCTATCTAGATTAAGGACTCTGTTACTGTTACTCCTGAAAATGATTTGAATAGAGAGTAACATGAGGTGAACTCATTTGTTTCAATAGACAAATATCACTTTGATTTACCATTTCATCCCTGATGACCTGGTATTATTTGTTATCTTTTCTAGTCCTTTTTAAGATGAACAAGCATGTCGAATGTTGAATGTACTAGAAAAAGTTACTAACTTACTATGCAGCATGTACCATGTTGTATTTAGATTGCATTGTTTACATAGTGGTTTTGTTTAAGCACTTCTTCTCTCTTTTCTTCCTTGTCTTATATTCATAATATCTGGGCTTGGAGAACATTACAATTGCAATTATTTATTGCAGCTCATGTGCTTGGCAGATCTTGAATATGATTATGTCAACCCTTATGATTCAGCATCTCGGATTAACAGAGTAGTGGTGCCAGAATTTGCTCTTCAAGGAGCATTGTGCTTCCTACATCTTGTGACAGGGCATTGGTTGATGTTTCTGATATGTCTGCCATACTTATATTATAACATCAAAGTGTAAGACTTTTCATCTAATTATCTTTAAGTGAAACATGTTAAAAGACTTTGCAATGTGTTGGTTTTTTAAAAGATGGTGCAACAAAAATGGTTTGAAGAAAGGATTAAAAATGTCTCCCAATATTAAGCATAGGGCTTTAAATAGCCAACTTAAAACAGAAGTTCTGCATATTTTAAAATTCAAAAACCTAAAATATCTCAACTAGTCTTATCTAACTAAATTTGAATTTAAACAAAGCCTCCTCCTACAACTAAACTACTTATTTTTCTGGTAATTTGGCAGTAACAAAAGCAATTTTCAACACTCCTCTGCTTCATTTGCTGCAATTTAGACAAGTTGTTCCTCAATTTCTACTTCTATTGTTTGTGCTTGAGGATTGTTTTGAGCTTCTCTGAATTTGTACACTTTTGTAACATGACTCTTTCTTCTTCTTTCTTTTCTCTCATTTTGGTTTTGTGCATTCAGTAACCTTGTCGGGTCTGAAAGCTCTTTTGGAAGTGATTTAATCTGGACAATTATAAGATATACAAAGTTATTGTAAGGATTTTTCTTCCATCACAATATACCATGAATCATGGATTTCAAGATATGATTTCAATTTCACTAATCAAATTTTGTAGTTTCACAATGAAAATTTGTGTGAGATTCAAAGAGAGAGTGTTGCTTGCCATGTTGGAAGAATAGGTTAAAATTTGGTATTGGTTAAAAATGATTTGAAATTTGTAGAGCATACAGTCACCTTCCCCAAACTTCACTTGTGGGATTACATTGCGTATGTTGTTAAAAATGATATTAAAAAATGGTTCTATAGATGAACTCACAGATCCCGTAAGACTAATGAGTTTCTTGATACCACTGCTGTTTTTTAAAAAGAAGGTGCAACAAAAATGATTTGAAGAATGACAAAATGTTTCTCAATATTAAGCATAAACCTTTAAATAGCCAACTTAAAACAAAAAATCTGCATATTTTAAAATTCAAAAACCTAAAATATCTCAACTAATAGTATCTAACTAAATTTGAATCTAAAAAAAAGACTCCTCCTAGTCTCCTACAACTAAACTGCTTATTTTTCTGGTAAATCAGCAGTTGTCAGTCCCTTTTTACTGTGTTACTTAGCCCTGACATCTCAATATATAATCTGACAACTGATGTTAACCCTTCATCAGCTATACTGATCGCTGCCACTTGGTAGATGTAACTGAGATTTTCAATCAGCTTCCATGGGATAAGAAGGTTCGGTTGTATAAGCTTGGATACCTTGTGATACTTCTAGCCTTTTCGATATTCTGGTACGGTGTCAGCAACAAGCTGCTAGTTCTCATCTCTTAAACAACTTGTAAACCTAATTATATCAGTAATTTATGCTTTTAGCTCATGCCTAATCTTGTTTGTGATTTTAGGATGGTTTGGAGCATTGTGGATGAATGAAGTATGAGGAATTGCCCCTTTCATGAAGGGTTTGTACCCTCTCTCTCTCTCTCTCTCTTTCTCTCTCTGAGTCCCCCATATGTTCAGAATTATATAGAAAAAATGTGAAAAACTAGGATGATCCCGACTGGCCAGGCCAAATCGGGCAACTTTGTCTTTTCATTTTCTTAGATGTTTTTGATAAAAAAATACTTCATCTGCTTCAAATGACGAATTATGGTCCTACATAAGAGTTGCAAATGCACCGGTTTGTAGGTGCGACACTACTATGACTGAAGGTGTAACAAGGGACGAGGTAGCCTTTGCACTTGTAATCAATGCAGAGTTACTTAAGAACCGAACATTATTGAGAAAATAACTAATAAAAGCGATAACAACTAGTTGAGATTGTGGCTTAGTTGCTGTCGTTCACTAACATTAGGTCTATTCTAGTTAGAGACTTGTATGTCAGTGGAGGGGTAAGTCTAAAATTTAGAGAAAGGGAGATGATATACTATTACATGACAGACAGCAACTTCTTCATTTTTGCTTCTTTACCAATTTGCATGCATAAAAGAGAGGATTTACTATTATTACCAAAAAGACATCAATGGCTTCATTTGTATGTTTTTTGGAATTTTGCTTCTGGAATGTTGTCTTTTGGCTTTTCGCGAAGTGTGTGGGTTTCAGTATGGGCACTATATATGAGTAAGGGGAACTGCTTCTGTTTTTTTTTTCTGGTAATATGAAATTTTATTAGAGGGAACTCTTTGCACCACACTTAGGCTACCTACATCTGCCTTGTGGATAGAAATTCATTTTCTGCAGTTGCTTGGCTAATCTTGGCTTCCACCTACCTCAGCAGTGTACATCCCGGATTATCATTTTGACCATAACTACATCAGATCTTCTCTTGTTCTGGAGTACCTTTTGGTTCCTCCCTTGCCAAATGTAGTATAGGCTTCCAGTTTGTGCCATTTTCTATACTTCAGTTTGTGTGATTTCTACCATAAGCATGTGTTCTTACCCAGTGCAGCTTCTCTGTCCACCCAATAGCAGTTCTGCTTATACCTTGCCAGCTGAGTATCTTCTGACAGATGATAGATGAAGTTGAGCATTTAAAGAACAAATGTGTATATCTTCATCTTCATTTTCTCCTAATGGAGATGTTGAGTTACTACCTGTCTACCCGTATCCCGTTAATCAGCTTGTCTCTTGTGTATAGCCTTCCTTGTATTGCCAAATATAGGATAAAAGGCCACCTTGATTTTTGCTAACCATTTTCCTCCATTCTCAGCTTGTTATAAATCTTCCTTATGGAGTGTTTCCCTAAGTTCTGTAGGTATTAATTAGATAACCCAGTACCCTCCATGGTGATTTCCTGGCATTATCCATGATGCTCGCTTAATAGTCACCTTCCAGATTGCTTTCCTTTTCCATAAGTTGTGTACGCATTGTATCCAAGTTTATCTTTCTTCTTGCATAGATTTCAATAATGCTTCAAGATGGCAGCTTTGTTCCAAACCAGTATATCAGTAATATTTAATTCTCCAGCTGATTTGGGCAATCATAGTTTATCCAAGGTCACCAAAGCCTTCTTTGTACATTTTGCAGCACCAGTCCATAGGAATCTTCTACAGACAGTCTCGATCAGATGAATATTCTTCTCAGGCAGAACGAAAATTTGGGACCAAAGTTTGTATGTTAATTAAGACACTCTTAAGTCTTAATCAACTGCAACCTGCGTGCATAAGATAAGAATTTTGCATTCCAAGTGGTAATCCTCCGTAGCATCTTATCAATCAGGGATTGACACTGTCTTACAGATAATCTTTAGAACTCAAAGGAACACCTAGATACCTGAGAGGTATGGGGAACTGTTGAAAAAACCAAGTATGCTACTTTTGCTCATTTTATCCTGACAAAACTACATTCCCAAGATTCCCAACAGCCGAAATGTCTGGTGATCGTTTGTGTACTAAGACTCCATTAACAGACAATTGTCAAGTTAGATATAATTCTACTTTTCCAGGGTTTTGAACCTCATCTTCCAATCCATTTTAGGTGGTATGATTCATGTACCTTTTGTTACCTACTATATTAGAAGCTATAGTTAAAAAGCCACAAGCATTTGTTACATTTCATCATCTCCTAAATCTCTTCTTTATGGGCTTTGCTTTTTGTTTGTTTGTTTTTTCCACCTCTTTTCTCAGGTTTGATCGAATGAAGAAATTGGGATTTCCCAGGCACTAGCACAGTGGAGCTGGCCTTTTGACATCTATCAGTTTACTCAGTTGATGGTGCCATAAACAGATTGTCGGTGATGGCTTTACGGAATTAATCTTATCTAAAGGAAGTGTAAAAAGTCCTCAACTGGCTGGGAAGCATACACTTTCTGATGCTTGAGTTACATCTCTTTTTTTCTTTCTTTCTTTCTTTTTGTTAGGTTTAACTTTATGATGCCCTTTAAGCATCTAATGTTTTGGGCAATAGGCACATAGTTGAACTTGTGTAAATCAGGATAGTCGTTGGGATTTTATATCATAATGTCTTAGCAAATGATTTACTGAATGTACTAGTTTCCAGTGTAAATTAATGTTTAGTAGAATGACTTACCTTTGGGGGTACTATGGGTTGACTTTTCTTTATTTTGTTACATAAGCACCATGATATTTACATATTCCCCAAATTTTGTGTAAATATTTGTTGGTATGAAGGTTCACTATTGAATCGCATATGATACCACACTTTACTTTAGATAGTCTTTTACTATGTGAATATAAAAATCATATGTGAGTACATAAGAATCATAGGTTGAGAAGTTAACTCACCACATTTTACTCACATAGATGAAGCTAACTTAATAAATACTCAATTAGATAGGTTAAGAGGTTTGCAGTATATGTGATTTTGTTTTAAAAATCAGATCTGAGTCAGGTCGGGATCAAGATGATGGTTAAGGTATGGGTCAAAATTTGAGGTGGGGAGTTGAGTCTTGGGGCGAGGTTGAGATTCAAGTCTCAGGTCAGAGTTGGGTCCCAGATTGGGGTCCTGAGTTGGGGTCAGGAGCCGGATCCTAGGGAGCCAGGTCTAGGGTCGTTGTTTTGGTCAAAAGTTGGGTCCACTTCGGGGTGAGGTAAAAGGTGTATTCAGGACAGTGGCATAGCCAGAAATTTCTTGAAGGGGGGACGAGTCACTAAGTATAATTTTTTTTTTGAAAAATGGATGCACCAATTTTTTTAAAGTCAAACTATGTCATATTAATGATTGGTTTTTTTCGTTGAATGAATGCTCCAAAAATTTTAAAGTAAATTTTTTTAAGTTTCAAGTTTTTACCGACCTCTGGCGACGGCGGTAATAATAACGATGAGACATAAAATAGAATCAAAAGAACTTTTTTTTTTCTTCAAATTTCACCATTTTCGTTCTTGGTAAAGTAGTAGAATAACATTTTACACCTTAAGTAAAAGTCATATACTACGGACGTAATCAAATGATTGACTACGAAAGCATGTATACCAATTCGGAGAAACAGAAATTGTGAGAGGATATATTCCATAACGAGGCAATTCCAGAATATTGCTGGCAGTAAAGATAACTGATTTCATACAGTGGTGGCAAATGGGCAGGTTAGTTGGGTTTGAGCGAGTCGAAAACGAATCAAATAAAAATGGATCACAACTCAACCCATCCATATTTCCTGTAATCAAATATAGGTTGGATAAACAATATTAAAAATAAATCTGACCCTTTTTATGTATATATGTAAGAAAATCATAATACGGGCGGGTTAACCAAATCTGGGTTATTTTCATGCAACATGCCCTTGTAAGACATACCGTGAAGAAACCAAACAGAAGTTATATATAAAAGCAAAATACTGCCATCTATACGGATATTATATTGAACACAGAAGTAAACAGCCATATATACTGAAAATATAAGAGAGCAGAAGCAAGTTCTGGGCTGTCTGAGTCTGAACCTGGTGAAGCATTTCCCGGTTGATGAGACGATTGAATCCCAGAACTTATATCAAGATCTTTAATGTGAAGGATGTATAAGTGGCGGCGCTTGCTTATGCTTCTTCACTGCCACTTTGATTGCCATATTTGAGTATGTTGAACTTGCAAAGAGGACAGGTCGCATTTATATACAACCACTTGTCTATGCATGCTGCGTGAAAATGGTGATGACATGGGAGCTCACGCAGCTCGATTCCATCTTCATAGGAACAAAGGCAAATGCAACATTCCTGCAAATGTAAATAACAAATTTAACTTCTAAAACTTGGAAAGTTTGTGATACTTTATGAAAACTTCCTGACTGAGAAAAAGACGAATGTTTCATAAAACATACAGCATCTTCTGGTGGAAGAACATGCTCAGTAGGTGTATCGGTGTCACATTCAACCATTACTCCTCCAAATGATTCTTGGATATCACCATTCTCTTTTTCAAAGTTCCCTAGTCTCTTAAACTTGTACTTAGGCAATCTTTCAACATCTTCCTTAGTTGCACCTTCCTGTTTCAAGGGATAAGTAAATTATGAGAGAGATATTGAGAACTACCAGGTGAGAGAGAAGATCCACGCAAGAAAAGCAGCGGTTCCATCCTATTTTAAGTAATCTCATTTAACTAGATTCTCAAGTGGATAAGATCAGTCGAGTGGTCTCAGTTGGAGATGAAATTGCACGTGTTTGTGGATTGAACGAAATTCAAGTCGGGGAATCAATGACAGGACATCAATTCAATTCTTTGGGGAATTCAGGCAAGAGCTGAAATTCCAGTTGCATTTATTGTACAAGGGTGAAGAAATACATACAACTTTTTTATTACTTCGACTCTTATTAGAATAAATAATGCACATCAATATCTCCTTTCAGTAATATAAAGCAGAGATGGGATTGTACTAGATAAAAGATCTTTTCTTAAAAGGTCTAACAAAAGGCAAGGCTGCGCAAAAAAAATCCCCAGCAATGCTGATTACACATCTACCTTCCTCCGTTTTATGTTTCTAAAACAAACTTGGACGTATGAAATAACCCAAACAAATGTATTATCTTACACAATTTGCAACAATTCTTTGAACCATATTGACAAAAATCAATACGTTGTGCACATTGAAAGCCTTTTTTTCTTTGTTTATGTATAACAAGGAGCTCTAACTCAGACAACATATTAAAAAGAACAGCTGCTCCAAAAGCATAAACAATGTGTGTGTGTTGCTGAATCTGTTTTCCATTTTTTATGAACACTACACAGAGTATTCATTGATATGTTTCTAAATATTCTCAAGTTAACATTATCTATAAACACAGGAATCTCCTAAAAGCTATTATCGAAGTTGTTTTTCCTTCCCATAACCACAAATATTTATAAGGTTACAACAACAACGCACCCACAGCAGGGAGGGTAGTGTGTAAGCAAACCTTACCCCTACCTTGGGAGGTAGAGAGGTTGTTTCCGATAGACCCTCAGCTCAAGGAAAAGCATATCAAAGCAGTTCGGGAAAGGAAATACAGAAGTGAAGACAAATATTTACAAGTTTGACTTACATACCAAAAGGAATGGCATTTGATGTGAATCATGACAATTGATAGAAGTGACGAAAGGTTTTACAGATTTACCTGATCCGTCACTGCATATAAGATTGCAATAATACATGGGAGACAGCAGCAAACAGCAATTCCAATGACACAAGCCACAGCAACACATATAACAACAAAAAACACATCAAACGCCAGAAATGTGATACAAAGCCTGCAAAAGATACCATTTAAATTAACATAAAGTAGAAGTATAAGAAAATGAAGCACAGCTAGAGCCTAGTTTTGAGATAAACCAGTAAAGTTGAGGTGCATCACGGGGCATAGTCTGGCCACCAGCAGATACCCAGTAGAACCCAATTATCCACCAAATGAAAGAAAACATGGTGTTTGCAGACTCCAGATGCTTGGCAACACTGAAACAATAAAACAAGAATCAGTGGTACATTATTAGGCACAAATATGCAGTTTTATTCTTCTCGAAACATTTTTTAAAAAAAAAAAACTACATTTCAACCATTTAGTCATGCATCGGGAACAACCTTCATTTTTCACAGTTGGCATCAGTTTGAATATCCCCACTTGTGGGATTGCACTGGGTATGTTGTTGTTTTGGTATCAATTTGAATAACTTTGAGATTCATGTTCAACTATCCAAGTTCAGCAGCCTACTGGACGATATTTCTCACATAGGCCAGTAAAACTAGACCATCAGTGACACGGGTGTCCATTTCAGCACCCGAGAAGTTTTGAAGTAAGTTTACTTTTGAGTTACAGTATAGTGATAAGGATTGTTGCGTAGCACCAAATGGGTTTATGTATGTTCGAGACATAATTAAACAAATAAAACTGTGTTTTTTATAACAGGTTAATCTTTTAGATGAGCACACACTTTAACATGGTATCAAACATAGCAGACAGAGATCCTCAGTTTGAGTCTCACCGCCACTCCTTATTTAAAAAGAATTTCCACATGCTTGACCATGAAAAACAATCAGGCTTACATGTGAAGGGTGTGTTGAATACATAGTTAAAAGAATAAAAATGTGCTCTCTTTAACACCTTAAGCCTTAAGATGATATGATCACACACTTTAGCAATGCAAAATTAAGAAAAGAAACTAGCACTAAATTCATTTGAGCACACCAAAATACATAGCCTTAGCTAATTTAATATCACTATATAGTTGATTAGCCAAATCAACTCTTATGCATAATCTATAATCTGAGATATTGATCAGAACCTACACTTTCCTGTTTAGGTAACATGTCTCCCATTATCAAGTCTCTAGAAGTAAAGCTTCCCCTGCCTCACTATTCCAATAGGAAAGGTTCCTGTAAGATTGTTTCTCAAAATGGAGCCTCTAGTGCCTCTCCAACCAAATAGGCCAATATTGACGCAGCAGATTTATGCAGTGATTACCTATGATAAAGCAACATTCATACAAGAAACAAGCAAGCTATCTAAGAAAGACATCTGCAGTCATCAGAAAACCACAATCCAGATGTCATTTTTCTGCACTACTCTTGCTATCCTAATTTCTAGTAAAATGACAACCTCAGCATCCTATCTTGACAAAAGACAGTGCAGAGTAAACCAATTGATGCCTTTATCTGAATACACAGTTTTTCAGCTGGCTGTTATGTTAGCTGTAGTGCTCCTTCCCAAATTCTCTGAGCTTGGAAAGTATTTTCAGTATTTTCTTATGATGACGTGGTCAGAGTCCTGAAACTTCCTTCTTTTATGTAAGGAATTATCCTGGTTGGTCGAAGCTAGAAGACAGCTGGACGAACTTCTATTTTGCATAGGGGAAGTAAGATTCACACAGAGACAGCTGCTATCTGGAAATATCTTTCTACGTTAGCTAGCCGGGGCGGGCTTTCCTATAGTAGTTCCGCGGTGGCCTCTAAATGGCTGTCCCAAAAGATTCCAAGCCCTTCCAAAACCAGATTGTACACATCCAACTTCCGATTCTTTAGTTATAGGCAGAGGCCGAACCAGAATTTTAGGTTTATGGGTTCTGAATTTTAAGACAGGACAATGACCTCAATCTAATGTATAACAATCCCAAACTAGAAAACAAATACTAATATTTAATATATTTTGAAAAAATGACAAACTAAATATGACAAACTACTTAAACACTATATAAATGTAAGTACTATCATTTTAATAGCACTCAACAGTTGTCATATCTTAAAAACGATAAACAACCGTTGGCACCCGCACCGCAATACAACAATTTGCTTTTTTGGTTAATTATCAATGCTTTTTTTTTTCAAAAAACTGCACATAGAAAAAAAAAAGACCTACTAGGAGAGAGTACTGAATATTCTCTTTTAGAAAGAGAGCATATATATAGCAAGAAAACAACTACAAATGAGGCACAGGTACCAAGTTTAGAACCCACATATCTCCTAGGGGAAACAAAAGCTTTGCAGTCCGCCAATACACCACTGAACTATATACTTGTTTTTGTATGTTGTTTCACATGTTAAAAACCTAAGTTGCTCGGATTCTTCTCTTTCGGTGCCGCAACCATGTGAATACAATGTAGGTGTGGGATCCGTACCCAATATGGTCAGCTGATTTTGGATACTTTGACCAAATTCGAGGGAGAAATTTTGGAATGATTTCTGTAATCAAAACAGATTCGAAGATAAGGGAATACCTTGTATATATAAATTTCTATTGCCACTCCCTTTCCTTTTATCTCCTTCCAAGATTCTCCTCTTGATCATTATTTTCTCCTCGAGTTTTCCAAATAATATCTCATAATTTAGGTTTTATAACTTTATTTTTAGATGAATCCCCGCGCACCCGTATCCACACATGGATCCGTATCCCCGAATCTTAAAATTTAGGTCATAGAGGATCCGACCTCTAGATCCGCATCCGTATCGTACAACCGCACCCAAGTCCGAGCAACTTAGTTAAAAACTATACGAGTATTTGTTTCTTGAGTTTCTAGTACAAATATAGGGTCGATGTAAACGTTAATGGGTTCACCTGAATCCCATGTTACACTGTAGCTCCGCCCCTGGTTATAAGTATTTTTAGGGCTACCACTCTTTCAGCCATTCTACAGAAACTAGCTTCAGAGTTCAATTAGTAACCCTAAGCCAACTTACACAACACTAGAAACAACGTCAAGCAATTTCTTGTTCACCAAGCATCCACAAAAGCGAGAATTACCAACAATGATAATATTCTCATTCCATCTCATGTGACAGTGTTTAAACAGGTATATATGCAGTTTAAAATGTTAACTTACTTTATAATGCAACAATAGTTATTTGAATAGTTTAAATGAATGAGATCATAAAATACCTAGTTTCATCCTCGTTTTGACTCCTCTCCTGCGAATAATTACCAGACTCCCCTCCGTCACTCTCCGAACTCAAGTTCCCAACTCCGGTATTCCAACTAGCACTCCCGCTTCTCTGCTCAGAACTACTCAAATTTTCAGAGGACTCCCTTAACCGTCGGCGTCTATACTCAACGAAAACACAAACCATATGAAGCACACTCTGTAAAGCATATCCAACAATCCAAAGCCTTAACGGCATAGAAGGAGACTCATTTCGGCTCAGTACAAGCACAGAAATCGATACAATAACAAAAGCTAAGTTCCATAAAAGATCTATTATCACTATAGGTTTTGAGTAAGCCCAATCACTTTGCCGCTCCTCGATTTGCTCAGCAGCGGCTTCTCTTACTCGCATCGACGGCTCACGCATCAATCGGCGGCTACTTGCACGCCGTAGAAATCCAGCAGCTCCTCTGAGGCTCGGAGGGCGACGGAACGAACGTCGGTTCCTGGAATTCTGGCTAGTGAGAAACGGCGTCGTGTCAATTCCGACACCGTCACTTGGGCTAACGTCGGTGTTAGGTATGTTATCATTGACGGCTGTTGCCGTAGACATCGCCGGAAAATTTGTGTGAAGAAAACGACGGGAAATTGAAGTTTGTTTCAGGTAGGGTTGATTTTCAGACAAAATGGTGATATTGAATTTGGGTTAGGAAAGTGAAATGACGCATTTCTGGTGCACACGCGCTTGAGAGTACAGACACCTATTCTATTTTGTAGCTGCGCGAAGTGAAACCCGCCAAATAACACGCTTCTGTTTCTTTTCCTTGTAGTAATAAATAATTAGTATTTCTTTTCTTAAATTTCTATTTTACATATATAAATATGTTATAAGTTTTTTGCCAAAAATATGAAATATTCCATAATTATATCTATACACTAGAGCTAAATTCTTAAATTATCATTGTGAAAAAAAAATGTTCTTATTATTTTTTAAGTTCAATGATGTAATGTATGAGGTTGATATAGAAGTGGGGTTTTGGTACACAAGTTATTAGTAGAGAGAAAGTTTTAAGTATGTTTGGGTTTATTATCCAATGAAATTGAGAGATTGACGGTGATGTCACACATCGTATAGATGCAAAGTGGATGAAATTGAGGCTCACATCTAGAGTCATGTGTGGTAAAATGTGTCACCAAAACTTAAAGGCAAGGTATACAAAGCGATGGTAAGACCAACTATGTTGTATGAAGCGGAGTGTTGGTCAATCAAGAAACGTCATGTCAAGAAGATGAAAGTTGCGAAGATGAAGATAGATGTGCGGGCATATTAAGAGAGATAAGATTAGAAATGAAGATATTCGAGATAGGGTAGGAGTGACCTTGATAGAGATAAGATGCGAGAAATAAGATTGAGATGATCTGGACATGTGTAGAGTAATTGCACAAAAACACCAATGCGGAGATGTGAGAGGTTGACTATGGATAGTTTCAACTGATGTAAAAGTATGCCGAAGAAGTATTGAAGAAATTTGATTAGATAAGACATGATGTTGTTTTAGTTTACCAAGGACATGACCTCAGTTACTAGATCCATTTTGCTGAGCCTTTTCTTATCTCCTCTGCAGCAAGTTGCTGGCCTCGCGCCACAAACTGATGGTGTCTCGAAGTTCTCCTGGCGCTCTCCCCCTTTATTATGTAAAAAGGCCCACGTTTTTTAAACATTGTTTTGTTTATACTTCTATACTACTAACTGTTATAGTATTACGCTAATCCGTCCAATTTTCACTAAGTTTTGTGTTTTAATTTCTATATGTTCTTTTACAATTTTCCATTTACAAAATAAAATTATTTTTCCTTTATCAGAACAAAATAAAATGATGTTTTAATAAAATTTATCTTATAGCAATTTAAATTGCATATCAACCGAATTTCTTATGAATTAAGGATTGGGCCAATCCTGTTTTCATGAGCTAGTTTTGTCACCGCAACTTGTTAGTGACACCCCCTTTTTTGTCCAAACACAAAATGGAAAATGCAATATTGAGATCTAGACAGACAGAGAATCGTAACTGAGACTATTTAAATATAGTTCCAAAGAGACATTAGAGAATACATAACATTCCTATAAAAGGCAAGTGGAAGAAATCAAATCAAATTGATATACACAAAAATAAACCTATTTCAACTAGTAATCCTGTTTGGAAGAACCTACTGATCTTCTGAATGCCCACAAACTAGATGTTTGTTGTAAACAAAAAAAATTGATAGATGTGAACTCATCTAGAACTGCCTAGGGCATTCTACACTAACACATCAACTTAATAAATAAAAGAATTTCATAGTGTGAACTCTAACTCTGATCATATTAGCACATGACTCTTTCTGCATTGCATGTCACCATCCTTAGCTGGCCTAGAACATAGCTGCATTTGATGCTGTAGAACACTGCTGATCACATGGAAAATAGACCCCTCTCAAAAAATTCATTTGCACCATTCACTTCCTCGTGTGCTCAGGAATAAGGCGTTGTCTCAGTTCAGTACGTGCACCAGAAAGTTCTGCATGAGGATTACTACAGTCAGACGGGGCGAAATAATTAAAACAATAAAGTTAGGAAGGAAAAAAAAAGGGAATTCAGCTCAACCTTGAGGTGTGAAGTTGAATAGAGGTGGCAAAGGTCGTCCATTAGGCAAGCAAGCATTTGGTTTCCTCAGATCATCAAAGAAAGGGTGCGCACATGCCTCCAACTGAAAATGAATATAAAGTTATGACTCATTCAAAATGCCTCATCATATCAAATCCCCAAAAGGAGTCTACAAGCATGTTTCTAACATACTACTGGTGAAATATGGTCACCCTCTCAGTAGGCTTCATAAACTTATTGATTGTCCACAAGTAGTTCGGGTGTGTTTTCTCATTAGCTACTTTCAAGCTTTATACTAACAGCAGGAAAAGGCTAAGTCATTCACTTACAGCAGTACATCGGAGAGTTGGTGAATACTGCAGCAACCTTGAGGCCAGATCTACTGCTTCAGGGGGTATTTTTCTTTGAAATATCTGCAAAATATTCAGCACCTCGGCCTATGAGTGAGTGCACTTGGAAGGGACAGTGGGTCAAAGAACTTCAGCGAGAGAACAAACAAAAGAAACTAAGATATAAATAAACACTATACTTGATAATTTGTAACAAACCTTGTGCCACGGGTGAGCTTTGATTTGAGGAAACTTGAACTCTGTATAATTTGGATTCATGCACCTAATTTCCTCTCTAGTTGGTGTCCCCAAAATCTAGCATGGATTAAATCCATCAATATCATAAGCAATGTAATGAACTCAACTGGCACTGCTTTAAAAATGGGGGATGAAAACTGATGTCCCATAATAGCATACCTTGATTATCTCCACCAGCTGATCAACACCACTTTCTCCAGGGAAAAGAGGCTACACATAATGCAACATTCAAAGCATCAGACTAGTTTATACCACAGTAACTCGAAATATGATGCTCAGAAAAAAAGATTTTCTAAAACTTCTATAGAGAAGTAGTATATCAACAAAAAAAAAAATACCATAATAATATCATGATCCACCAAAAAAGAGAATCAACTACAAGTAGGGAAACATTTAGGTGCAAGCACTTACATATCTACCTTAGCAAAAGAGAGGCACCATAGAAACCAAATCTATGTGCAATTGTAAGAAAAAATTACCAACTTTCTACAGCTAATATCAGAAAGAGTGAGAAGATAGGAACCACAAAGTCGACTCACCTGTCCCAAAAGTAGCTCAGCGAAAACGCAACCAGCTGACCACATATCAATTGCAGTTGTGTACTCTGTAGCCCCAAAGATCAATTCAGGCGCTCTATAATACCTAGAACAAATGTAGGCTATATTGGGCTCCCCAGGCACCTATGGCAAGAAGACAAAAGTCTGAGTAGATGCAAACACCAAGGAAAACGTAGTTCTCAAAAGAACACCACATACCAGCATCTTTGCACTTCCAAAATCACATATCTTTAACTGATGAGTGTGTGGATTAACCTATAGCAATAATTAAAACAATAATACCACAAATAGTTAGAACAGAAGCAATCACAATGAAGGAAGAGGGAAAACAATTGTCTCAAATAACCAAGGAAATAGAAGAGCTACAAACACCTAGAAGCAAAGGAGCATAACCAGCAAGCTTACCAAAAGATTCTGAGGTTTAATATCACGGTGACATACCCCAATTACATTGTGCATGTAATTCAGAGCCCGACATATCTGCGTAATGATAATTATGAGAAAGAAATCAAGTTATAACTTCTGAAGAATCAAGATAATTCATAATAGAGTCAAGATGACATATTGTAAAAGTGTCGAAATTATCTTATTTACACAAAGTTCCTACATATAAAAGTAAAATATCACCCAAACGCTTACCTGGTATGTGTACAATTGAACATATATGATGGGCATGTGATGGTTCACTCGGCTGTAGTGCCTTGAAACTCGGTACACAGTTTCAGACACATACTCCAGAACAAGGTTAAGGTAAACTTCATTCTTCTCAGTAGTAGAATAGAAACAGTGTCTCAGGTGAACAGCATTAGGATGATCAAGCATGCGCATAATCTGTAGTTCCCTGTTCTTGTATCTCCTATCCTGCAAGACCTTCTTTATGGCCACAGATTCACCTGTTTCTAGGCACTTTGCCTAAGGGAAAAAAAACAGAGAAGAAATGAGCAAACGTCAAGCAGAGCCGCCCAAACGACTTCAATGCTTTCAAATAAACACCTAATCCTTCCTACTGACCCAATCAAACACAATTTTACCTGAAATACAACTCCAAATGAACCCGTACCCACCACACGTTCAGCCATGTAAGACAGTGTCTGGGACAACAACATGAAATTTATTAATTGAATAAAACCCAAATACATAGCAAATCACAAGCCACATCACATCTAAGTCTGTTCAATTCTGAAGATGAAACTTACCTGTTTCTTCTGTCCATTTCGACCACTCAGAGTAGTCACAATTATCTGGCCTGTTTCTGTTCCATTACCACTAACAACAGTAGGCTCCATATCCTATAACATTTTATCATATCATAAAAAGAGATTCTCCATAAACAATAAAGCAACATGATGTCTATATAAATAAGAAGTTACCTTTAAGTCATCCTCATGATCATAAGAGTTTTTCTCTCTAATTCTCATTTCATTTGGAAGCTCCTTCTTTCCAGATTTATCTTGCCTAGTATCGACAGTCAATGTACTTGCATCACTTCCCTCAGATGTAGAAGTCACATCATCCTTTGGCGCTATAGTACATCGCTCTTCCATTTGAATTTCAATATCAACCCTGTGATCTACTTTTTGCTCAATCTTCAGTCTCTTTAGGCTAATATCCCCTCCCTATTAAATTAGTAAAAAAAGTGAGATTATATGGGATATATTGTTGTTTGACGACAATGCACTTAAATCACATCAGGAGAAACAATAACAATTTCATGATTCATTTAAACATAATTTTGAGCAGACTTCGAAAATAAACCTAATCTCACAAAGAAATAACAATAATCATATTGCAGAGCTAATATGATAAAACTACACCAACTTCCTTTAGATTTACCAAACTCTGTATCAATCGGTCACATTAACAAGCTAATCAAGTACAAATAAGCATAATATAGAACAATTCAAGGCAACATCTCCAGTCAAAAAGCC